TGCGGATCTTGGAGGTCAATGCACGCATGGGCGGTGGCTCTGTCCAGAGGATGCACCAGCATGTTTACGGCATGGATTTGGTGGAACTTCACTTGCAGACGTGCATGGGCATCTCCGTGGGGCATGTAGCCGACGTGCATCCCTTGGAGCCCTCGATGTGCTACGAGGCGGGCTGGGTGGAATCCCCGTATTCTGGAAAGGTCTCTGGCATTGGCATCGATGCCTTCGCAGAGAGATTGCGATCCATGTTCAGGGAGCATCCGCACGTGTTGGAATTCGTCCCCCTCTGTGACGACGGCGATGCCATCAACGGCTACAAGGTGCCGGGTTTGCCGTCTTCGCTGATTATGGTATTCACCAAGGGCGCCGAGAAGAGCTTCGCCCGGAAGCACCTCGCCGGAGCGCTCTGTGCAGCGGAGGAGCGCATCGCGGATCTTGTCGAGCCAGATGCTCCGCTTGCCCCCAAGGTGACGAGCAGCGTCGATGCCGTTGTCACGGCGGCGGTCGGCACGGCTATGATTTGCGCGGCCGCCGCTTTGACGCATCCGTTGTTGTTCGAGCAGGTGATGTCTCCAAAGCGGCGCAACGCTCCGGCCGATTGCGCGTCGATCCAGCCGTTTGGGGCGCTCGAGGCTTCTGCGGAGCTTATGCCCTCGCCTGTGCCCTCGCCCGCTTACCCAGCATTGGCGGTCGTCAGGTAGTCTTGAACGTGTGTTATTTTGTTCACTGATTGTTCAGTTGTCGACCGTACAGTGTCGTTGGGCGCTGCCTCAGTGGGTGGCTTGATGTGGCATGTGCGCGCCCCCATGGCTCCCTTGTTAGTGGTTTGTGTGTGTAACTATGTGTGCACGTGTGTGTGTGTGTGTGTGTCATCGGCCCTGGTAAATATAACGTTCATAGACGAAGTGGGTGGGAGCCGAGGGCTTGGGGTACACAGTCGCTCTCCCCACTTCGCTGCGCGTCAGCCCGAAGCGTTGGGGGCGCGGGCCGCTTGCCCCCTAGCGCCCAGGCGGGCATGCGCCCCAATTTTTGTTTGTGTTTCTGTCAATCTCTCTCCCTTTCTCGACCTCTGGGGGGGCCCCCAGGGACCTCTGGCGACTGGCGAGTGCTGAAGTGACGTCATTCCGCAGGGGGCGCCAAGACGGCCTTTGGACCTGCGCCGTAGAGAGTGATCCTAGGGGGTTGGGCCAGCCCGAGCAGATCTTTACGCTGCATCTTCGGGGGGGCCCAGTCTGTCCACAACGTTGGTGTCTTGTCTCATGCCCCACGCGGGATCGATGCGGACTCGACGCAGATTTGGCGTTGCTTGGTCGCGGATTCGACGTGGATTCGACGACGATTCGACGAGTCCGACATGAATTCGACACGGCTGCGACGCGGAGGGGCGCGGCGGGACAGATAATACCCCCCGAACAGGCAACGTGAGGATCCATGTTTGTTCGAATGTGGCCGTCTGGTCCCGGCGTCGAAGAGGCGCCTGTGACCAGGCCCCTCCCAGGCTCGAGGACACGTCCCGAAGGCATACGTCCTCAGGGTCTCCAGTCTGGTGGAGAGCGAGCTTCCACAAGCGAGAGCCCTGGGAGACGCTGACCGTCGGCCCCCTGGGTCGACAGCGCCTCGACCTCGGGGCCGTGCCAGCTTGTGGAAATGGACCGGTATGCAGAAGCCTGTACCCGTCGCTCTGGCACTAAGAGGCTGTGCGCGCGAGGTGCAGGCTCAGCCTGCTGATAGATCGCGGGCGAAAAAGCAAACGAAACGGTCGAACTACGATCACGTTGTCGCACGTCATGCGCCCGTCGGGGGATCCACGGGAGCATTGGGTGGCAGCTCGGGGAAAGGCCAGAACGGGTCCTCAGCTTGCCCTGCCCCCGAAAAAACTTGCCTGGGCGGCGAACCCCTGGGGAGGGAGTCGGAGGACGGGGAGGCCTCTTTTTCCTCCTGCGCTTATCAGCTGGCATTCCCCGCAAGCTTGACACACGGTCGGGGAGACGTCTAGTTGACTGGGGCCAACGACCTGTGTGACCCATTCAGTAGCGTCTCAGTGCCGCTTGCTCGGATCACCTCGGGCAGGCAGCAATCGAAGTGCAGCTGTCGGTAAAAACAAAGGCCCCGAGGGGTACCCTTGCCTTTTTCGTTTGTGTTTGGAGGTGGCGAGTTCGAGACACCGGCGGCCCTCCCCAGCGTTCTGGTTCGTCCGTGCTGGGCCCCTTGCGAGCTTCTCGTCGCCGCGGTCGGATCCGTCTCGAAAGCGGGTCACCATGGGCCCCAGGAGGGGACCAGGGGACCGATTTGTAGCGGACTTGTGCTTGGCGGGAGAGCCGCCGATGTTTCCATTGGCCCTCTTCCGAGTTTGGGCTCTCCAGCCTGGAATGCTTTGCGTTTGCCCTGTGGCCTTGGGCCTTTGGCGATGGGGCTCCTGTCCATCATTGTGCCCCTTGCCCTATTGTCCTTCCGATCTCCCTCCCCTCCCTCTCCTCGCCAAGTGGACCTGACTAGATTGATTCCGCAACAGTCCCACAGAGTTGACTCACTTGTCGGGGGCCGCAGGGATCCAGCTTGAATCCGTGCAAACGTTTGTATTCGCTGGCAGACCCTGGTGGTGCTCTTCGTGTGTTGAGGAAATGATTAACCGTCGAGCACATAGCAGTAAACCAGGTGATGCTTAGAACACGGGTCCAGACACCCAATTCTATAGGTGTTGCAAGGTAGTACATTCTGAAACGATGCATGACTTGATGAGTAGACTAATCCCGAAGAGCCAAGCCGCTGGAGATCCCCCAACTGTCTGGACGCCAACGGGCAAATTCTCTACCCGCTGGCGGCTCCTCCTTGGGGTGCTCAAGGGCTCAGAAAAGAACGGGGTCTGGACCATCAAACAGGCAAGCCGCCTGAAACATCCCCGCTATCTGGGCGCGAACGGGCAAATGCCCTACCCCTTGGCTGCGCCGCTTTGCGGTCGTCGAGCGCCAAGCCTGCTACATCGCGATGGACATGGGGCTTTGAAGAGAGAGGGGTCTTGGCCACCAAACGTGCAAACCGCTTTGTACATCCCCTCAAGTCGGGGGGGCGAACGGGTAAATGTCCTACCCCTTGGCAGCTCCTCCTTGCGGTGCTCACGTGCCACGCCTGCCACATCGCGATGGGCGCGGGGCCTTGAAGAAAGAGAAGGCTGGGCCACCAAACAGGCAAACCGCTTGCGACATTCCCACAATTGGGGTACAACCAGGCAATTGCCATTCCCCTCTGGCGGCGGCGGCACCCCCATGGGGTGCTCATGTGCCACACTTGCCACATCGCGATGAGCATGGGGTGGTGCACCGCTTGGGACATCCCCACAACCTGGGCGCGGACGGGCACATGTCCTGCCCCCTGGCGTCTTTTCCTTGGGGCTCTCAGCTTCCACGACTGCCACATCGCGATGGCATGGTGCTCCTAAAATAGAGGGACCTGGGCCACCAAACATGCAAACCGCTTGGGGCATCCTCACAATCTGGGCGCGAGCGGGCAAACGTCCTATCCTGTGGCGGCTCCTCCTTGTGTGCCACGACTGCCACATCGCGATGGGCATGGGGCTTTGAAGCGAGAGGAGTCTGGGTTACCAGACAGGCGAACCTTCTGAGGCATCCTTACATTTCGGGCACGAGCGGGCACATGCCGTACCCATCTGGCGGCCTTCTTCGGGTGCTCAAGTGCCGCGCAGGGCTACATCGCGACGAGCTTGGGGAGGTGCACCGCTTGAGACATCCGTCAATCTGGGCGCGAACGGGCAAATGTCCTATCCCCTGGCGGCTTCGCCTTGGGGTGCTCAACTGCCCCGACTGCCACATCGCGATGGCCACCAAGCAGGCACACCGCTTGGGACATCCCCACAAGTTGGGTGCAACCAGGCAAGTGCAATCCCTCTCTAGCGGCTCCTCCCTGGGGTGCTCACGCGCCACGCCTGCCACATCGCGATGAGCACGGGGACCTGAAAGAAGAGTCTTGGGCACCACACGGGTGAACCGCTCGAGACATCCCAAGAATCTGGGTGCGAACGGGCAAACTTCTGCCCCTTGGCAGCTCCTCCCTGGGGAGCTCAACGGCCACACCTGCTACATCGCGATGGGCACGGGGCGTTGACTCGATGGGTGATGTGTGTACGGGTCATGACTTGGGTGAGTACGAGTTGATATGAGTGGGAGTGGGGTGTGAGTGTGTGATTGATTCTGAATATGCCTGAGTGTGAGTACGAGAGGGTCTGAGTGAGCGTGAGTCTGAGTATGAGTGACCTGTGCTAGAACCAGCGCCTCGCCTGAGACATCCTCGCAAACGTCTCCGAAAGCAAAAGATGTTGGGCACGCAAACAGACAAACCGAGTGAGATGTCTTCACAATATGGGAGCGAACGGGCCCATGCAATACCCTCTGGTGCCCTCGTTTGGGGAGGCTGAAACCAGCGCCTCGCCTGGGACATCCTCGCAAACGGCTCCGACAGCAGCTGATAGTGAGCATGCAAACTGGCAAACCGCCTCAGACATTCCCACAGTCTGGGCGCGAACGGGGCGATCGACAGACCCCCAATGGGGGTACGACCGAAGACGAAGGGGGCGGGTCTCGAGGGTGTGGGATACACATGTTGAATGACACGCGAGCAGATAAGAGCGAACAGTCTCAACACAATTGTTCCTATTGTTACTGTTCTTGTTGTTGCTGCCGAAACCAAGGGCTAGTTGTTTCGTCTTGTTGTCGTCCTCTCCTGCGACCCGCCCACGACACTCTCCGCGACCCACCTGCGACCCACTCCGCAACCCACCCGCGGTCCACCTGTGACTCGCACACACTGTGTCGGCTTGAGTCGGCGTCTGCGGCGGGCTCGTTGCGGAATGCGTGAGAAAACGGCGCCTGCAACGGTCTTTTTCAGAGCCCCGCCCCGCAGATTGTCGACGACCCCGCCGCCCCCTCACTCTTATTCGCAACTGCGGGGGCTATGGTACTTCTGGCTTGCGCCAGGGTTCTTAGCAGATGATGCGCGTGACGGCCGCCTTTTGCATCTACGCTTCCCAGTCTTCCTCCTCTTCCTACTCTTCTTCCTGCGCTTACCGTAGCCATTTTGGCCCAAGCCCTTTTGCTTGCAACGTTGTCTTGTGTTTGTGGTCTGTTTTTGCCACTCGCCTGTCGGCACTCCGTCTTCGCCACATGGTGTTCGTGAATGCCGACGGATCTCGCATGGTGGCGCTGGTAATTGGCAGCGGGCACAGAGTTCGCAGCCTTGGCATGTTCGAGAGGATGCACGAGTTGGGCATGAGCACTGTCGTCGTTGATGGGGAGGGTTCTTGGGCTCATGAGATGGAGGTCACGGGTGTGGTGCACAAGGTGGTGGTCGTTCCAGGCCTCGGACAACTTCCGCAGGAAGCGGAGCTCGCCGCCGCAGTCGTGGACGCCTTGCGGGCCGCGTCGATTGGCAACGTTACCGGTGCTTACAACGCGTACAACAAGTACTTACTCTTGACCGCTTTGGTCGCAGAGAAGCTGGGTGTGGTGACGAACAGCTACGAGGCAGTACGGAGATGCGTGTTCAAAAACGAAACCCGCAAGTGCCTCGTTGCCCATGGGCTGGAGCCGTGGAAATCGTTCCCATGTTCCACGACGCAGGACATTGAGCAGGCTGTGGGTCAGATTGCGTTCCCTGCGATCTTGAAGCCGGCGAAAGGTTCAGCTTCTGTTGGTGTCGTCAAAGTCTTTTCCGCAGAGGAGGCCGTGAAGACATTTTTGGAACAGCGCGCCGAGCGCAACACTCGGGACGAGGTTTTCCTCTTGGAGGAGTACATTGACGGGCCCGAGTTCGGTGTGGAAATCGTGATGCAGCACGGCCGCCTCTTATTTTGCTCCGTCATGGACGCCGACAAGCAGAGCTATGGGCAGTTCTTCCAGGGCACGGGCCGCAGCTTCCCTACTGCCCACGGGCATGTCATCGAGGCTTCTGTTGCCTCTCACTGCGTTGCTTCCGTGCAGGCGCTTGGCTTGACGACGGGGGTTTTCGACCTCGACGTGAGGTTCTCCCCGCAGTGTGGCGTGCGGATCTTGGAGGTCAATGCACGCATGGGCGGTGGCTCTGTCCAGAGGATGCACCAGCATGTTTACGGCATGGATTTGGTGGAGCTTCACTTGCAGACGTGCATGGGCATCTCCGTGGGGCATGTAGCCCACATGCATCCCTTGGAGCCCTCGATGTGCTACGAGGCGGGCTGGGTGGAATCCCCGTATTCTGGAAAGGTCTCTGGCATTGGCATCGATGCCTTCGCAGAGAGATTGCGATCCATGTTCAGGGAGCATCCGCACGTGTTGGAGTTCGTCCCCCTGTGTGACGACGGCGATGCCATCAACGGCTACAAGGTGCCGGGCTTGCCGTCTTCGTTGATTATGGTATTCACAAAGGGCGCCGAGAAGAGTTTCGCCCGGAAGCACCTCGCCGGGGCGCTCTGTGCAGCGGAGGAGCGCATCGCGGATCTTGTCGAGCCAGATGCTCCGCTTGCCCCCAAGGTGACGACCAGCGTCGATGCCGTGGTCACGGCGGCAGTCGGCACCGCTATGATTTGCGCGGCCGCCGCTTTGACGCATCCGTTGTTGTTCGAGCAGGTGATGTCTCCAAGGCGGCGCAACGCTCCGGCCGATTGCGCGTCGATCCAGCCGTTTGAGGCGCTCGAGGCTTCTGCGGAGCTTATGCCCTCGCCTGTGCCCTCGCCCGCTTACCCAGCATTGGCGGTCGTCAGGTAGTCTTGAACGTGTGTTACTTTGTTCACTGATTGTTCAGTTGTCGACCGTACAGTGTCGTTGGGCGCTGCCTCAGTGGGTGGCTTGATGTGGCATGTGCGCGCCCCCATGGCTCCCTTGTTAGTGGTTGGCGCGTGTGTGTAACCATGTGTGCGCGTGTGTGTGTCATCGGCCCTGGTCGCTCTCCCCACTTCGTTGCGCGTCAGCCCGAAGCGTTGGGGGCGCGGGCCGCTTGCCGCCTGGCGCCCAGGCGGGCATCCGCCCCAATTTTTTTTGTGCTTCTGTGAATCTCTCTCCCTTTCTCGACCTCTGGGGGGCCCCCCAGGGATCTCTGGCGACTGGCGAGTGCTGAAGTGGCGTCATTCCGCAGGGGGCGCCAAGACGGCCTTTGGACCTGCGCCGTAGTGAGTAATCCTAGGGGGTTGGGCCAGCCTGAGCAGATCTTTACGCTGCATCTTCGGGGGGGCCCAGTCTGTCCACAACGTTAGCGTCTTGTCTCATGCCCCACGCGGGTTCGATGCGGACTCGACGCAAATTTGGCGTTGCTTGGTCGCGGATTCGACGTGGATTCGACGACGATTCGACGATAAATTCGACACGGCTGCGACGCGGAGGGGCGCGGCGGGACAGATAATACCCCCCCAACAGGCAACGTGAGGATCCATGTTTGTTCGAATGTGGCCGTCTGGTCCGGGCGTCGAAGAGGTGCCTGTGACCAGGTCCCTCCCAGGCTCGAGGACACGTCCCGAAGGCAGACGTCCTCAGGGTCTTTGGTCTGCTGGAGAGCCAGCTTCCACAAGCGAGAGCCCTGGGGGACGCTGACCGTCGACCCCCTGGGTCGACGGCGCCTCGACCTCGGGGCCGTGCCAGCTTGTGGAAATAGGACCGGTATGCAGAAGCCTGCACCCGTCGCTCTGGCACTAAGAGGCTGTGCGCGCGAGGTGCAGGCTCAGCCTGCTGACAGATCGCGGGCGAAAAAGCGAACGAAAGGGCAGTAATCGAAGTGCTGCTGTCCCCAGGCCCCGAGGGGTACAGTTGATTTCTCCGTGTGTGCTCGGAGGTGGGCGAGTTCCAGACACCGGCGGCCCTCCCCAGCGTTCTCGTTCGTCCGTACTGGGCGCCCTGCGAGCTTCTCGGCGCCGCGGCTGGATCCGTCTCGAGAGCGGTTCAGCACGGACCCCAGGGGAGGCATCTCCACAACTCGGGGGGTGACCGGGCAAATGTCCTACCCCTCGGCAGCTCCTCCTTTTGGTTGCTCACGTGCCACGCCTGCCACATCGCGATGGACTCGGTGCTTTGAAGAGAGTCTTGGCCACGAAAGAGGCAAATTGCTTGGGACATCCCCACAAGTTGGGTGCATCCAGGCAACTGCCATTCCCCTCTGGCGGCTCCTCCTTAGGGTGCTCAGGCGCCACGCTTGCCACATCGCGATGAGCATGGGGTGGTGAACCGCTTGAGATATCCCACAATCTGGCCGAAACGGGCACATGTCCTGCCCCATGGCGAGTTCTCCTTGGAGCTCTCAGCTCCCACGACTGCCACATCGCGATTACATAGTGCTCCGGAAATAAAGGCCTTGGCCACCAAGCAGGCATACCGCTTGAGATATCCCAGCGATTCGGGCGCGAACGGGCAAAAGTCCTATCCCGTGGCGGCCCCTCCTTGGGTGCCACGACTGCCACATCGCGATGGGCATGGGGCTTTGAAGCGGGAGCAGTCTGGGTCACCAAACAGGCAAACCTTTTGAGATATCCTTACACTTCGGGCACGAACGGGCAAATGCCGTACCCCTCTGGCGGCCTTTTTCGGGTGCTCAAGTGCCACGCAGGGCTACACCGCGATGAGCATGGGGAGGTGCACCGCTTGGGACACCCCCACACACAACCTGGGCGCGAACGTGCAAATGTCATATCCCCCTGCGGCGCGCCCTTGGGGCGCTCGACTGCTACGCCTGCTGCATCGCGATGAGCATGGGACTCCGAAGATCGAGGGGCCTGGGCCACCAAACAGGCAAACTGCTGGAGACATCCCCACAATCTGGGCGCGAACGGGCAAATGCCCTACCCCCTGGGAGCTCAACGGCCGCACCTGCTACATCGCGATGAGCATGGGGACCTGAAAACAGAAGAGGCTTGGCCACTACACTGGCAAAACGCTTCAGACATCCCATGAATCTGGGTGCGAACGGGCAAAATTCCTACCCCTTGGCAGCTCTTTCTTGGGGTGTTCAACTGCCACACCTGCTACATCGCGATGGGCATGGGGCTCTGACTGTATGAGTGATATGTGTAGCAGTCGGGTCATGACTTGGTTGAGTACGAGTGGATATGAGTGGGAGTGGTGTATGTCTGTATGAGTATGTATGAGTGAGGTACGAGTGGGTCTGAGTGAGAGTGAGTCTGAGGATGAATGATCTGAGTGTGATGAGAGGGCGGAGGCGGGAGTGAGTGAGGGGGCAAAGGCAACCCAGTGATGGCAAGAAACCCATACGTAGGATATGAGGACCACGACGGATGATGTTACGGCATTTGATGGCCTTCTGGGGCCCATGCCCGACCCCAGGGCCGTCACACACCCACTCGGAGGGAAACATTGCCCTCGAGAAAGGTCCAAACTTTTCGGGACCCACGTTGTGAAACACATTGCAGGTATCTAAGCAAGGAGGCACATACGGAGCAATGACGCAGCCGAGCCTTGTGCACTTTTCGCGGAGCTTGTGTGTGTGTGGTTGTTAGTTCCCTTCCCTCTGCATCGGAACCCAGAGACATTTGGCAAGCTCCCCTTCAAAACGGGATGTTCTTTTACTCTAGGCGTACAGGGTGCTCATCTTTCAAGAGTGCGCTTCGTGTGGCGAACAGGAAGGCTTTGTGGGGATCTATCAGGAGAGGACTTGGGACGGGAGGGTGTGTGGAAACATCGTTAATACATCCTCGGGTTACACTACGTACGTTCCTCTTCCCTCCCTCCACCTCCCCCCATGTCTTCCTTCAGAAGCCGGCTTCTGGGCCCATCCCAGGGTGCGTTCTGACCGGAAGGTCGAGCGGAACCCAGCCCTCCCGAATCCCCCCAAAGCGTTTGAAAGCCTCGAACCTCGAGGTCCGACCCTCGATCCTCGAAGGGGACGCCGCTCCCCTCATCCCTGCCACAGGCCCCTCCCCCAGGGAGCCCCTAATGTTGCAATTCCTCTTGATGCACCTTGGGTCTACTGTGTTCTTCTTATTATTACTTCCCCTCTTCCTCCTCCTCCTCCTCCTCCTCCTCCTCCTATTCCTTCTTCCTCCCTCTTCCTCCTCCTCCTCCTCCTCCTCCTCCTCCTCGGTTGTGAACTGGTGAACCACAGTCATGCATGCTGCATACGCCAGCTCAATTCAACAAAACTCGGGAGTGGCTGCTCGGACTGATTCAGGGCGTTGCATGCCTGGAAACCGTTCTCCCCCTCCCTGGCCCCCCTCTGGCCTCTGCAGGGGCAGAGGCCGTTGGTCAGGAGCGAAGGAAGGACGCACACGTACGTGAGTCCACGTTGCGTTCGACCGGTGCGCGGTGCGCGAACGTTCGTAGCACGAGGCTGGCCTCGCGGTCCGGGGGCCATACGCGTGTGCGCGGTGGGGCGCGTGCGTCCCTGCTGTGGGCCTCCCGAGCTGGGCAGGCGGGGCGCGCACGCGCGGCTGCGGCCCATGTGCACCTTGAGCAGAAGCGGCCAGGGGAAGCGGCTGCCCGGGGAGGAGGAGGAGGAGGAAGAGGAGGAGGAGGTGGAGGAGGAGGAGGTGGAGGAGGAGGAGGAGGAGGAGCAGCGGGAGCTGGAGGAGCAGGAGGTGGAGGAGGAGGAGGAGGAGGCGGAGGTGGAGGAGGAGGAGGGGGTGGAGGACGCCCTGGCCGCCCCCCACCCCGCCCCACAGGAGCCCCCCGAGGCAGACTGGGCGCACGGCGCCGTCGGGCTCACCCCGGAGAGGCGCCGAGCGCGCGCTGCCCGGCCGCGTCAGTCCTCTTCGTCGTCGTTGTCGTCGCTCTCGCCGTCGCCGTCGTCGTCGCCGTCGTCGTCGTCGTCGTCGTCGTCGTCGTCGTCGTCGTCGTCGTCCCTCGTCCCTTGTCCCTTGTCCCTTGTCCCTTGTCCCTTGTCCTCGTCGTCGCCCTCGTCGTCGTCGTCGTCGTCGTCGTCGTCGTCGTCGTCAGGCGCTCCGGGTCCTTCCGCCGGGCGGGGTCCGACCACGTGACCGTTTCACCCCCACGGGGCCCCGCCCCCCCCCCGTAACGGGAAGTCGGGCCTGTCCCTCTACAGGAGAGATTTTCACAAATAGTAAAAATAATTTGTTTTTTTTTTGTTTTAAAGATTTGCTGTTTTACAAATTGGAGTAGTATTGAGTATTTTGCATTCTTCCTACAAGATCCGTCTGTAGGGGGACATGCCCGACCTAACCGTAACGGACGTTACGAGGGGGAAAACAAAAACAGTCTCCCGTGTCATGTCGACGCGGCGGTGACCCCGTCGCAGGCTTTCGAGCCAGAGTCTTCGCATCGTGAAAGACAGCGACGGGAGGTGCTTCGCAGTTTTCTGCCTCTGGAGGCCCTTGCCGGGCCTCGGGGGGCCGTCAGAAAAACTACTCGGGAAGAGAAGCGAGCCCACGGGAGGGGGCCCAGACTTTTGGAGAATCATGTGATGACGCAATCACGACGTCGGAGGTCTGGGAAGAAGGTTGCACGCCGCCCGTGATCGAAGAAGAGAAACGCCATAAATATAAATTTCTAGGTGGACCCGCATCGGCCGAGGGCGAAGTGCCTGCGCTGTCGCAGAGTCGCGATCGCTCGAGGCGGAACGATCCGCGCGGCGTCGGAGACCAACGCGCGCGAGCTGGTGCGGCACGCGCCCACTGCAGACCCTGTGGCGGGGAGGGCCTCGCCCTCCCCAGACCTCGTCCACGCCCTCGCCCTCCAGCCTGCCGGATGTGTCGGAGGAGAAGCACTCGGGGCAGCGTGAGGGGGGGGTGAGTGGGCTCAGGGGGGGGTGCATCGGCCCCCAACCGCCCACGCATCGCCGGATCGCCCGGATTCGTCGGGGACCCATCGCCGACCTGTCGGCGATGCATCGCCGATTCCAGGTCGATGTTTCCCCCCCGAGGGTCCCTCCCTGTCGTCCTTGCCCTCGAGCGAGAGAGCACCGCCACCGAGGACACGGCGGGGGCCTGGCCGACCCCTGGGCCCCTGGGCGGTGGCACGCTCGGGTGCCACCCGGTGCTGGACGACACTCGCACGTGCCACCGCCCGGGGTGGGTGCGGGGCCCTCCCTGATGGATTCTCTGTGGCGGTGGCCGTTGTTTCTCCTCGGAATGTGATCGTAGACTCCTACAGGTCAGAATCGGGCATGACCCCCTACAGGAGGAATATTAAGAAATAGTCAAAGCATAGTCTGGGGACGATTTATTGATTTTGAGTATGTTTGAATATGTTTGGTGTACTTTGTTAGTTTTCGTCAAAAATTCGCCTGTAGGAGGACACACGCCCGAGCTAACTATAGGTTGTCCAGCCTCGGGTTCCGCATGTCCGTTTCGGCCACCCTTTACGCGCTTCGCGACCCCCCAGGGAGCTCCCCCGAAGACTCCAGTGTCAGGGTTTGCATGCTGACTCGGGCTCATTGCGGCGCACCCTTCATACGCATTTCGGCACGCCCCTCACACGCTTCGTGGCCCCACAGGGAGCTCCAGCGGTGGCCCCGGTAGCTGCGGCCGCATGGTGATTCGGGTCCAGATCGGCAAATCCCTCACAAGCTTCGGGGCCCCATAGGAGGCTCCACCGAGGGCCCCAGTGGTTGCGTCCGCATGGCGACTCGGGCCCATCTCGGCAAACCTCTCATACGTTTCGTGGCCCGATAGGGAGCTCCACTGAGGGCCCCAGTGGCTGCGTTCGCATGGCGCCTCGTGTCCCTTTTGGCACATACCTCACACGTTTCGGGGCCCCAGAGGGAGCTCCACCGAAGGCCCTAGTGGCTGCGTTCACATTATGATTCGGTTCCATTTTGGCACACCCCTCGCCCGTTCTGTGGCCCCACAGGTAGCTCCACCGAAGGCCCCAGTGGCTGCGTTCGCATATCGCCTCGTGTGCATTTCGGGACACGCCTCACACGTTTTCGTGACATCCTCGGGGCTTCACCGACCGCCCAGTGGTTGCATTTGCCAAGTGGTGCGTGCTCACGAGCATCGCTGTGCCAACTGAATGTCGCGGGGGTCGCAGGCGTGTCTGTGTTTTCGCAGCAAAGTACAGCTTCTCTTTTTCGGGAAGAAGACAAGAGGAGGGGCAGGAAGAGGAGAGGGCGGAGGTGGACGAGGAAGGGGAACCCAGGAGGGCTTAACGAGGGTGGGGTGGAGGAGGGGGAGGGGGCGAAAAATGGAGGGGCGAACGGGGAGGGGGTTGAGGATGAGGAGGAGATGGGGATTATCTGTCCAGCTGCCTGCGGCAAGTCCCGCCACCGTGCCATCCCAGCATTCTGGGTGGCAATTTGTCGAGGGGGCACGAGGGGCCGTCACGTGTGACACCTCCTGTCTCCAGGCTTCACAGAGCTGATAAGGATGATGATAATCACGAGGATGCTGAAGATGATGGTTGTGACGATCATCGATGATGACGGTGCTGATGACGACGATGCTAACGCTTATGGCGATGCTGATGATGGCCATGATGATGCTGATGATGATGCTGATGATGATGATGATGATGCTGTATGATGATGTTGGTGATGAATGATTGTGATGGTGATGGTGATGGCGATGATGACGTTGTTGACGTTATTTGTGTGGATGGCGATGATGTTGCTGCTGATGCTCATGCTGTTGGTGATGATGCCGCTGCTGATGCTGATGAGGATGATGATGCTGGTGATGGTGATGACGATGATACTGATGCTGCTGACGCCATTACTGATGCTGATGCTGATGCTGCTGATGATGATGGTGATGATTATGATGGTGGTGATGGTGATATTGACGATGACGATGCTGCAGCGTGTGATGATAATGGTGACGCTGCTGATGCTGACGATGATGACGATGCTGGTGATGGTGATGATGCTGATGCTGCATAGATTGTTGATGATGCTGATGGTGCTGATGCTGATGCTTATGCTGATGTTGCTGGCGATGCTGATCGTGATGATGATACCGCTGCTGATGATGCTGATGCTGATGCGAGTGATGATTATGACGACGACGAGGCTGATGATGCTGCTGCTGATGCTGATGCTGATGATGATGGTGTTGCTGATGCTGATGCTGATGTTGATGATGGTGATGATAATGATGATGGTTACGATGATGCCTTAGTCTTACCATTAATACCATTACTTGATGATGCTGATGATTATGATGATGGTGCTGCTTCTGATGATGACTGTAGTGGTGATGGTGGTGGTGGTGATGAGGTTGTTGCTGCTGGTGATGACGCTGATGATATTGATGATATTGATGGCGATGATGCGTACGACGAGGTTGGTGAGTTTGACGTTGACGATGTGGATGGCTGTGATAGGGACACTAAGGGTGATGCTACTGGTTTTGTTGATGATGGTGGTGAAACTCGGTTGGGCCGTTCTGGTGCTGCCAGAGCCTACTTTGAGGCAGTCTTTGGGGCCCCTGGGGCCCTATTGGGCCATCTTGGGGCCCTCTTACGCCGGCTTGGGTTTCTCTTGGGCCGTCGTGGGGCCGTCTTGACTGTGTGGTCGGTGTCAGGGAGCCGTCGTGGGGCCCTCTTGGCTCTGCCTTGGGCCGTCGAAAGCCTTCTAAGGCCGTCTTGGGTCCCACGGGAAGCTCTCTTAGACCGTTTTGGGGCCGTCTTGGATGCCTCTTAGGCCATCATAGAGTCATCTTGGGCCGTCTTGAGCTGACGGCATCCCGAAAGGGCGAGTATGCGAAACTCATGCAGAGACGCAATGGAAATCAATGATTTTGACTTCTTCGGACCCTGGTGAAGGTTCTCTTGTGGTCCTCACGGGCCGTCTTGCAGGCATCTCAGGCCGTCGTGGACCAATATTCGGCCGCCTTGGAGCCATCTTGGGCCGTCTTCGGGGCATCTTGGGTCGTCCTGGTGTCCTTGGTTGCCTGCACGGGTCGTCTTGGAAGCTCGGGACGCATATCCATCATGTGTAACGAGGGATCGTGGCTTGGGAGGTCCTGGAGCGCTTGGGAGCAGCGCCTGGGAATGCGGGAAGTGCACCATCCTCGAGCGGGTTCGCGTGTGATGTGGGTTCCAGGAGGCAGCAGTAACGCGGTAAGTGCGCAATCCTGAAGCGGGCGCGCAGGGAATGAGGGAGCAGGCGCGAGTTGCCCTGCTGGAAGTGCACCCTCCTCGAGCGCACACGCTTGAAAGGGGGTTCGGGCATCAGCTGCCCTGCGGGGAGCGCGCCATCCTCGAGCGGGCACGCGTGGAAGGGGGTTCTGGCATCAGCTGCCCTGCGGGACGTGCACCATCCTCGAGCGGGCGCGAGGAAGGTGGCCTCAGTGTGTAGGGGGGGGTGCACGCGACAGTCTGCGGGTAAGGGGGGGGCTCTTGTATCAGAATCCAAGCAAACCCTACCAGGCAGACCTTGACATCCTTCCACACCTCAACGTGCACAAGGCACGGTGGCATATATAGGTAAAACCATGTTAACCAGAGTGGATCCCAAACAGTGTTTTTTTCTAGCAGTGCCAGTGGTGCTATGGATGTGGAGGAATCTGCGTGGTTCAATCCAAGTGGAGCAATGTATGTGGTGCGACCGATGTGATGCAGTTTCTAATGTGCAGCCTATGTCGTGCAATCTACGGCAAATGTGACGACTCCACCTCCGACAGTGGAAGCGATGTAGATTGCGCGCCACCTTCACCACTTCCAGCGACAGACTTTCTAGACGAGGAGCAGGACCTTCTGGAAGCTTGGTCACAATGGATCAGACGTGCAACACAACACGCAGAGCTTACCCATTCCAAAATGGGCAATACTGATGGGAAACAGTAGTATCAAGGAACATGAATGGGATTGGATACGTCAGATCGCCACGAGTACGACGAAGGAGAGGGCACGAGCAATTTTACAATGGGGTCCCGAACGGGATGCGCAGACACCGGCACAACGACGTGTGAGATGGCCGAAAGCACGATGGTGGGACGATGTGTTGTGACATGCGCAGCAAGCGGCCCAGGATTCGCGAATGATCCCGACTGATCCATTGATATGTACAACAACAGGGGAATGGGGAATATTAAACTCAGGCTTCTCTGACCAGTGACTGGCGTATTTTTGTAAAGTACACGCACACGTAATATTGTATGCCAAATGTTTGTCTCTTCCACTACGCCTCGCTCCTCGCTTCCCTCCCGTGCTTACCCCTGTCATCCTTCGGCGGCGCCCCAGCGCCCCCTGCATCGCTCCTGCGGCGCCTTGACGCAGGCCGCATGTCCGCATGTCCGCAATCTACGATGTGCAGTATCTGCTGTGCAAGTTGGGTAGTGCAGTGTATGGTGTGCAGTCAAGGTGGTGCAATCTACGTGGAGCAGTTTCGGTTGTGCAACCTGCGTTGTGCAATGCATGTGATGCAAGGTATGTTGTACAACTGGATTGTGCCATCTATGCTGCGCAATATTACGTAATACCATGCATGTGGTGCCATCAATGTGTTGCGGCCTGTATTGCGCAACTTTTGCTGTTCAAAATAGGCGGCGCAGTTCCTGTGGTGCGCTATACGTATTACAATGTATGGTGTACAGTTTACGTGGGGGCCATGTGGTGCAAATTCTGTGGTTCCCACGATGTTGAGCAGTATAGGTGGTGCGACCCAAGTTGTGCAATACACACTGTGCAACCTACGTTGTGGAATACTGGTGATGCAACATATGCCGTGCCATCTATGGTGTGCAATTCATATTGATTGTCTTGAAGCTGTCCTCTCCACTGCTCGTGCAAACTTCCCACCCTCCCACCCGCAACTTGGTCGCACGACCTCTTGAGACCGTGACGGTAGGTGCCTAATTGCACTTGGCAGCGACGCCGACGACGACAGCGACAACGATGACGACGACGTCGACGACGACTACGCCGACACCGACGGCGACTCCGACGACTTCGACGACGACGACAACGACGACGACGATACCGACGACGATGACGACGCCGCCGCCGACGACGACGACGACGATGACAACGCCGACGACGACGCCGACGACGCCGACGACGACGACGACGCCGACGACGACGACGACGACGAAGACGACGACGACGACGAAGGCGACGACGACGACGACGTGACCAACGAAGGCGACGACGACGAGGGAGGAGGGAGGACGACGATAACGACGAGGGAGGAGGGACGGCGGCGACGACGCGAACGACGAAGAAGGAGGGAGGACGGCGACGCCAACGACAACGACGAAGGAGGAGGGAAGACGACGACGACGACAACGATCACGGCGACGAAATAGGAGGGACGACGACGAGACGCCAACGACGGACAACGACGACGACGAGGGAGCAGGAAGGACGACCACGGCGACAACGACGACGGAAACGACGACGACGCCAAAGAGGAGGACGACGACGACGACGAGGAAAGACACAGGACGACGACGACGAGGGAGGAGGGAAGACGGCGTTGACGATGACGACGACGACGACGCAAGAGCGGGCGCGCACGCTTTTGTTGAAAACCCGTGTTGCGAAGACCTGTGTGTGTTGTAATTTTCTTGGACACGCGATTTTGAAATCCGTCCGACCCTGGAGGTTTTTTAAAAGGATTTCGGCATGCGCGCGCGACGGCGCGCGCGCGTGCACTTCGTCTCGTTATTTGCAGAGGGTTCTCGCCACGGCACGCGCGCAATGGCGTCCGAACGACTTCGACATGCGCGCGCGCGAAGCCCGTTTGGTAGTATGTAATGAGAACCTTAAAACACCGATGGTTTGTAAAGATTTCGCAGGAGCGGGTGCTTAAGATGTTTAAGAACATCCGTGTTGCGGAACCCTGCGTTTGTGTGTGTGTTGGGGATCTCGATTTAAAAAATTCCGGCACCGAAGGTTTTTGAAGGATTTCGGCATGCGCGCGCGACGACGCGCGCGTGCGCACTTCGCCCCGTCTTTTTGCAAGGGGCTCTTGGAAACTTATGATTGTTTGATAAACGATTGCCCGCGCATTGTATTTGTTTCAAGGGAACCGACGTGGGATCGAGACCAGCTTGGCTGGGATACTACGAATTCGCAGTTAGGATGGACGATAAGGGGCAGAACCACACGCACATTGCAATACGAAAAGGGGGATCTTGAAGTCCGAAGGGGTAGTACCTTTTTTATTTATAAAAAAAAGAGAATCTACGTAGTGAAGTCCATACTGCTGAACTTGGAGTCGTCATCTTCACTGCTCGTGCAAACATTCCACCCTCCCACCCGCAACTTGTTGGGCTAAACTCATGATGCGGGGGACGGCGGCGCCACCGATGACGATTCGATGATCATATCCTCACTGCCGATGCTCGTCACCGTGAGTCGATGATGACGGTGAGCAGATCGACGATACCCGGACGTGCGCGATGACAAAATGACGTCGGTAACGTCTGCGACCATGACGAAGGTGGCACCAGCGACGACGATGTTCAAGAGGGCGACGGCACGAACGATAACGGCGCCAATGATGGCAATCACGTTGACGATGTTGATGTCCATCTGTCGATGAGGCACGTGATCGCGGTGATGCTGACAAGGTTGACAAGAAAAGCAGCGCGCGCGCGGAAGTTCAACAAATCCGTCGGACTGATCATGCTCGCGCGGCGGTGCGTGCATTTGGCCCGGGTTTTTTTTTGTTTTGAGCGCCCTCGGCGCGGGACGCGAAATCGTTGGATTTGGCAGACTTCACAAGTACTCGATGGTTTTTGTTGTCATGAATTTAGCATGGGCGTGCGGACAGGAAATTCGCACCCCCCCAAAAAAACGTCGCAGAACTATGTTTCTTATATAAAAATATAAAACAAAGTTGGTGAGCTGAGATGCCTGCGAACGAATTGTGCGCGGTGCGTTTTTTTACATGGGCGCGCGCGTGATGACTTTCTGGTACGTTACGCCGGAGATTTTTGAAAGTTGCTGTCTCAAGCTGCAAAAGTGCGCACGCGCAGTGCGACTTGACAGGGGTGGCGGGCGGGGAGGGGGGGGGGGCGATGCCCCGGCTTGGCTGGGATAGTGTGAATTCATATTTATAATGTACGAGTGCGCTGAATAGATTTGAAATTACAAACGCCCCCGGGGGGGCCGTTAATTCCAGCGCGGCGAGGGGGGGTAGAGTTTATTTTACACGATTTCCGTTATGCAACCTTTGTAGTGCAACATTTGTGATGCGATCCATGTCGCGCAACATATGCTGTGCAAGTGCGCTCGTTCGCCGTGGGTTGTCAACTCCGCCGGTCGCGCAATCGCCCCATCCACCCGCTTGCAATTGGGTTTGCTAAACCTGTTTGCGCCGGCGATCGCTATGAATACTTTGAGCTGGTTGGCGCGTCATTGCGCGCGCGTTATCGCGCGCAGGCTCTCGGCCAGCTAGTCTGGCGCGACCGGCTCGGCCGCGACGGCAGTGACCGTCGGGGACTTCCCACCGCTTCTGCCAGGCCGCGCTGACGCGCGGGCACTTCAGTGCGAGTCGGCGTTTCGGGCGGGCGTGGTATCATGGCTACGTCGACAAGTGCAGACACAACGATGATTGCAGCGACGCGGGGGAAGACGATGGCGATGGCCTGGCGACGGCAATACCAAAAACGGCGCCGATGCTGATCACGCGAATGACGATGATGGTGTTCTCACGTCGGTAATAAGGTTTTTGGGAAAGGTTCGTCATTCGTACGCGGACGACGCGCGCGAGCGGCCCGCATGTTTTCAGGTGAGAGGAACCGTGCCCCCCCCCAAAGCACGCGCGCAAGGGCGTCCTGATGACTTCGACGCGCGAGCGCGGGAGGCCCCGTTGGTCGGATTTGGTGAGCAGGTTGAAACAGTAACCGTTGTTTTTTGACAAATTGCAGAAGCACGCCCGCGTGTTTTCAAACTCGTGTTGCAAAGCCACATGTGGTTCAAATGTTTTAGGGGCGACCGATTCTGAAATCGTTGCAAAATGCACGGCTTGGAAGGAGTTCGGCATTCGTCCACCACCACGCGCACGCATGCACTTCGTCAAATTTCTAATTTTTCAACAGGAGTCGTTGACAGCGGATGATGTTTGATAAGCGAATGTGCGCGCATCGTGTTTTTTTTGCACGGGATGGTTTGAGGGCATCGAACCCTCCTTGAATTGGACGATATGTCTGAATGAACGATGGGGAAAATTCGGATGCAAGTTGCACATCCCCGGAACGGGGGTCGATAATCCCGCCCCCGGAGTGGTGGTGGACCCGCAGACCTTATGAGAAAGGAAAATCGGTGTTCAGCAGCTTTTGTGGCGGCGTCGAGGCGGCGACGGGGCGGCGACGGCGGCCACATAGCCACCAGCGACAGACGACGGGCCAGAAAACCTTCCCTCTCGCCCCGCGCCCTTTTGTGCGCCGCCAGTCCTCGCCCCCCTCTTGCATGCACCTCTTTGTGCTCCCTTGCAGCGCGATGGATGTTCAGCGTAGACCTTCTGATGCTCTGTCGTGCCGTCTGCTGCGGCGCCCGCGATCAGCTGAGTCTGCTGCGTCCGCCTGCCCCCATGTTGGCACTGTCGCACGCCTCACTGTGTGAGACACACGGGGCTGCAGTATCGCGCTCTCGAGTTCACGTTGGCACGGTCAGCTTCAGCTTGCGTCTTGCTTCTGAATTGTTTTTCATACGCGAACCCTGGCAGGTTGTCTTACTACCACCGGTCCCTCACGCGCTGGTCAGTGGCCAAGGTGCTCTCCACAATTGAGTCACATGCCAGTTGGGCAGTCAGTGCAATGCAGTAAATTTTCTTTGAAGGGCTTGGCGTCGAAATTTGAGGCTGCATGCAAGGCTTTTGTCATGCTTTGACGCATGACGCATTCAAGAGTGCTTCAGCACGGGGCTGTAGATTTCAGACCGTGGCGCAGGCTTCTTTGTTGAACGAGCAGCGATGCATGATCACGGACCGCGCAGTACGTGTTGTGTGTTGCATCGTGTCTGTGCGTTTCAGATTGGGGCGTACGCATGGTCGGGCAGCCTGGTCCTGACGCAGGCTCGCAAGATTCTTCAAAAGGCTTACGCCGTTCCTGCCACCCCCTGAAAATGGATATACGCGATGTCTGATGTTCTACGTGTTGTTGGCCGCCTCCCGTCGTGCCGCCCCTCTTATAAGCCTCTCTTTGGGCCCCTCGTGGGGCCCTCTTGAGGGCCTTTCGGGCCGTCCTGGGAGCCTCCTGGGCTGTTTTGGGAGCCCTCTTGGGGGCTTCTTGGGCTGTCATGCGACAGGGTGGTCGGGGCTCTCTCGGGCCGCAGAGGGCTGGCGGAAGCCAGGAAAGATGAGAGCGTGACATATGCAATTGTCCCAGCAACGCACCCTAATAGCACCGAAGGTGACCTGTGGGACCTGTGGGGCAGGTGGGAAGTGTGGGACTTGTGCGATCTGTGGGACCTGTGAGACCTGGGGGACCCATGGTCTACGGGTCCTGTGTGACCTGCGTTAGACCTGTGGGACGATCGCGATCCGATGCGACCTGATCCCGATCCGATCCCGATCCGATCCCGATCCCGTTCCCCACTCCGACCCGATCCCGATCCGATCTGTTTCCCGATCCCGATTCCGATCCCGATTTTGATTCTGTCCCGATGCGATCCAATCCCGATCCTGATCCCGTTACTGATTCGATCCGATCCCGATCCGATCCCGGTCCGATCCTACCCCGATCCGACACGTGTGATTTGGGATTGACTTGGGATAGCTGAAATGGTGAGAATCCTGTGGCCTTGCCACACGTTCGTGATCTGAGCAGGGTGAAATGGTGAGAAACCCATGGCCCTGCCACACGTTCGTGATCTGGGAAGGCAAGAATTACCATTCTAGTGCTTTTGTTACGACAGACCGTGGCCGCCCAGACCAAACATGTAGCCGGCACTGAGGCGAGAGCACGATTCTTGAATGATTTGCGAGGAAGCCTCAGGCGAAACGGGTCGAACCTTCTGCCGAACCGCACGGCCATCTTGGGCTCCCCGTCTCTCATGTGAGTTATTGTGTTGTCTTGTGCATCTCCACGAGAACTCTCTAGCGAGACGCCATGAGGGAAGCTGGACAACACATGTCGGCGGCACTGAGGCGAAAGCACGTTTCCTGAAAACATTGTGAGGAAGTCTCTTGCGAAATGGGCCGAACCGGCAGCCGAACCGCACGGCGATCTCGGGCTCCCCGTTCCCGCTTGGGGGACTTTTCTGCGAACCGCTAGTAGGGACAATTTTGTACTGGCACGTGCGATCTGGCCATCTTCGGCACGCCCTATGGCAATCTAGAGCACGGCAATGCTCGGGGCTCCCTTCACGCTCCGATCCAAGGGTCAACCCGTGACGATGCGTGGCGTGACCTCTCGAGCGGGCATCGCCGCCAGCTGCGCCGCCAGTCGACGGCCGACATCCTCCAATGCGCGTGCCACTGCCCAGATGCAGGGAGACTTCATACGCATACATTTTCTGGTGGGTGGTAAGTGGGGGTGACCTACGTAGGGGGTGAAGAGGGGGCCCTACAGGGGCCCGTTAGGCCCCTTTTAGAGCCAATACGGGTTTCAGAGGGCCTTTCGGGCCCCCTTCTTCACCTCCCATATGGGTCAACCTCCCCTTAACACCCGCCCGAAAGTTTTAGAGGTCCGCGCGGATTTCTTGGATCGGCGCTTCCCGGCGCCGACCCTGCCGCGCTCCGCGCGCCAGGGAAGGGGGTCCCAGCGCCGATCCAAGAGACCTGGGCGGACCCCTTCGACCGTTTGTTCCCCATGCGGCAGGATGATGTGTTCTGAGTTGTCAAGTTGAAAGAGAAGAGCCCCCGACCCGACTCGCACACCCTGCAAACCTGCGGGCGCCAAGCCCGGAGTGCGTTGGTGCCTCCTGGGGATCACGCTTCGTGCTGCACACCTCTGGCCCTCCCAGAGGGGGCCCGAGCAGATGGTGTCGGAGGATCGCGCCGCATCGCCGATGCATCGGCGGTGCGGCTCGATGCGGAGGCCAAGTTGCTTCTCGCCGACGTCACCGATGTATCGCCGACGTCGCCAGTGCATGGCCGATGCACCGCCGATGTATCGTCGATGAGGCGCGATCCTCCGACCCCATCTACTCTGACCCCATCTAGGAGGCCTCCAATACTGCGGCCGCCAGGCCGTTCTCGGGTGGGGATCGCTCAAATCAAAGTAATTAGTTCTCGGCAGCAGTATCCATCTTGGTCAGACACTGGTGAGCAGTACTGCGAGGTGATTGTTTTGCCGATCTGCGCGGGTCCCCAACCACCCCCCTCCCCCCCCGCACCACGGAGTGGGTCTTGGCTGTTCGGGGCGCCTGTTTCGCTGTTTCGAGCGGGTCGGGAACCTCCTCTCCTGGGACGCACTGTCGCAAACAGCCGCGCTAAGCAGAGAAGGTGCGGAGCCACTCCCCCCCCCCTCCCCCCCCCCCTCCCTTCCGCCAATGTCGAAACGCCGCATAAAAGAACGCTCACGAGGCCACTGCAGGTCCTCCTCACGTGCGCGCTGAGTCCTGCGTGCGTCCCGTGGCCTCGCGCCTGCCACCCGTCGCAAACTCTGTGCACCGCGGCCGCTCGAGGGCGTGCCTGGCCTGCCGTGCAGCGGGCATCGGAGGGACTCGGTGCACACATCGCGTCGTCTGGTCGGCCAGTGGGCCATTCGGTGCAGAGGCGCCCCAGCATCCTATAGGCTGTCAAGCTTGGGTGTCATACACCGAGCCCCTCGGCCGACCAGGCGACACGGTGTACACTTCGAGCCCCTCCCAGGGCAAGAGCTGAAGGATTGGCAGTCTGGCGATAGAAAAACAGGAACTGCGGTAGGTTCGCGCCGTACCGACGCGGCGGCGACCTCTCAGCATGGGCGTTCCAAGGTGGAATACGACCAGTGGCCCAGAACCGGCTGCTTTCGAACGAGCCGCACTATCGGAGAGCCTCGATCCTTCAGGATGAACGATAGGCGCGGTGTCGCAATCAGCGCAAAAGTAGTCTCGACGCGAACTTGCCGCAGCAATGTTATGTGGATCGGCATTTGGCACCGGTTGACGTACTCTCCGTGCCGTCGTGCTTCTCCCGCTCGTGTGTCGTCGAGTTCGATGAGCAGGTCGACCCTTCAGATCAGGGGTGCCCAATTGTCCTGTGCGACAGCGTCCCATGCCCTCTGCATCGTGGGGCAATGTGGCCCCCGGAAAAGTCGTGTGGTGATAGTTTTTTTTATTCATTGTTTTGCCGATCGGCGAGGGCCCTCGCCCCCCCCCCCTCCGCCCATGGAGTAGATCTTGGCTGTTTGGGGCGCCTGTTTCAAGCAGGTGGAGGCCCTACCCCATCGGACGCACGGTTGCAAACAGCCGCATTGAGCAGAGGTCTGGAGCCACCCCACCCCCCCGTCCTCCCCCCCTTCCGCCCAATGTCGAAACGCCGCATCAGAAAATGCTCACGTGTCCTCTCGAGACCTCCCGAGGGCGCCCAGTCAGACCCAACCGTGTGCCGACGGTGGCTGGGAGCGCACCTCTCAGAGGGCCTCGCCGCACGTCTGGGAGGCCGGGGCCCGAGCCGCCGAGGGGCACTCTGCGCTCCTCGGCCCGCCATGCCCGCGCCTCGCCGCAGGTTCGCCGCGACTTCCGAGGGCACGTGGCCTCCATGCGGCGGAGTCTCGAGGTCCCCAGCCTGTCTGCTGCTGCAGTGCAATTCAGCACCCACAAGGCCACGCCAACCCAACCCGAAGGCCTCAAGTTGCTCCATTTCCAGTGGTGGGTGGGGGAGCATGGAACACAAAAACACATGGAACCCGTGCCCCCCCCCCCCAAACCCGAAATTCGGGTCTTCGGGTTGGGTTGGGGTAGCCTGGTGGGTAGTCAGTAATCTATGCTGTCCTCCTCGTCGTTACCATCGTCTTCGTCTTTGTGCTTTTCTCGACCTCCGCGGCTGCTCGCGCTCGGAGCTGGGGCGGAGAGCCGCAGGGCGGGAGGCAGTCGCCCAAGGGTCAGCACCTCCAGCGGGGCCCCCACTGGGTCCACCCTCCACATCCCCCCTTCTTCCCCACGGTTCCCTCCACCCCTCACCATCCTCTCGCCGTCCCTCCTGCCATCGTTCTCCGGCCCCCCCCTCCCCCCATGCGCCCTCGTGTCTCGTGCTGCCCCTCGTCCTCTAATGCCCATCCCGCCTCCCTTCCCATCCTTCCTCCCCCCCTCCTACTTGTTCCCCTGCCTCGCCTCGTCGTTTCTCGTGCTGCCCCCATACACCTTTAATTCTTTACGCTTCGCGTATCCCCACCAGCCCATCTCACAGCAGCAACTCTCGCGAAGCATGCCGACAGTCGTGTTTTTCAGGCGTGTGTCCGCTTGGCCTCGCATATCTCCCCTGTTCCTCCTTCCTCCCGCCTCCTTGTACATCCTCCTTGTGAGGGGAGCGGGAGAAGGACGAGGCGGAGGAGGAGGGAGAGAAAGCGCTCCTCGTGATTTGAGTCGTTTGGGGTTTCTCGTCCTGGTGTGAGTCGTTCGGGCCCTTCTTCCTGGTGTGAGTCGTTCGGGCTCTTCGTGGTGTGAGTCGTTCGGGCTCTTCGTCCTGGTGTGAGTCGTTCGGGCTTCTCGTGGTGTGAGTTGTTCGGGCCCCTCATCCTGGTGTGAGTCGTTCGGGCCCCTCCTCCTGGTGTGACTCGTTCGGGCTCCTCGTGGTGTGAGTCGTTCGGGGCCCGCGTCGTGGTGTGAGTCCTTCGGGCTCCTCGTGGTGTGAGTCGTTCGGGCGCCTCGTCCTGGTGTGAGTCGTTCGGGCCCCTCCTTGTGGTGTGAGTCGTTCGGGCTCTTCGTGGTGTGAGTCGTTCGGGCCCCTCGTCCTGATGTGAGTCGTTCGGGCTCCTCGTGGGGCCTCTTGGGGGCCTCTTGGAGCCTCGTGGGGCCTCTTGGGGGCCTCTTGGGGGCCTCTTGGGGGCCTCTTGGGGGCCTCTTGGGGCCTCGTGGGGCACAGTTTAGGACAATCAATGAGTTTGGCATATTCGTGCCCTCCTGGAAGACCCCCTGGACGCCTTTGTGGCCGTCTTGGAGGCTTCTTGGGGGCCTCTTGGGCCATCTTGAGGCCATCTTAGGTTGTCTTGGGTGCATCTTGGGCAATCTTGGAGACATACTGGTGCCATCTTAGCCGTCTTGGAGGCCATGTTGGCCGTCTTGGAGGTTTCTTGGGCCGTCATGGGGCCATCTTGGGGGCCTCTTGGGCCGTCTTTGGGCCATCTTGGAGGCCTCGTGGGCGACCTTGGGGGCCTCTTGGGTCGTCTTGAGCCGTCGGAATGCCGAACAGAAGCAAATGCCAACATCCTTCAAAAACCTCACTCAAATCAATGATTTTGGCCTCTTCGGGCCCTCGTGGAGGACCTCTTGGAGGCCTCTTGGGCAGTTTTGGAGGCCTCTTGGGGGCCTCTTGGGCCGTCTTAGGCCATCTGGGGGCCATCTCAGGCCGTCTTGGTTTCAGATTGGGCCGTTTGGGATGCATCTTGGGGGCCATCTTAGCCGTCTTGGAGGCATCTTGGGCGTCTTGGAGGCCTCTTGGACGCCTCTTGGGGCCGTCTTGGAGGCCTCTTGGGCCGTCGTGGGGCCATCTTGGAGGCCTCGTGGGCGATCTTGGGGGATCTTGGGGGCCTCCTGGGCCGTCTTGAGCTGTCGGAGTGCCGAGAAGAAGCAAATGCCAAAGTCCTTGAAACATGTACGGGAAATCAATGATTTTAGCCTCTTCGGGTCCTCCTGGAGGACCTCTTGGAGGCCTCCTGGGTCGTGTTGGGCCGTCTTGGAGGCTTCTTCGGCGAACTTGGAGGTATCTTGGACTCTGTTGGGCCGTCGTGGAGGCCGTGTTGGACCATCTTGGGCGGACTTGGAGGCCATCTTGGACCATTTTGGAGGCCATCTTGTGCCAACGTGGCCATCTTGGAGGACATCTTGAGCCGTCTTGGAGGATTTGTTGGTTGGAGGATTTTGATCCCTTTCGGGTGGCCGGCGGGACGGGCAGAAGCCCCAGGGGGAGTTCTTTGGGAAAAAAACCAAAACCAAACCGAAAGGGTCTAGCACGCCCAGCACTCCTGTGGCAAGCCAACAGGAGGCGGCGGATCGAAGACACCTACGGCGAATCACCGCCGCCCCATGCCTTTTGGAAACGCCTATGTTGCCGATCGTTGTGGCCAGAAATCTGCCAAGCTATCGGACCATGTGTTCCCCGAATCGGTTTGGAAAGCGTTCGGGGAACACGGTGGGGGAGGCTGGGCCGACTTGGGGCTTTCTTGGGGTCTTCCAGGGCCGTCTTGGAGGCCATCTTGAGCATCTTGGAGGCCTCTTGGAACGTCTTGGGGGCCTCTTGGGGCCGTCTTGGGAGCCTCTTGGGCCGTTCGGGGGCTATACTGGAGACCTCTTGGGCGATCTTTGGGGGCTCTTGGGCCGTCTCGGGCCGTCGGAAGGCCGAAAAAAGCAAATGTCACAATCCTCCAAAAACTCATAGGAAATATATGATCCTTGAGGGCTTCGCCCCATGCCGCCGGCCCCCTGTCTCGGATAATGGGAGATGCAAAAGCTAAATCATGAGGTCTGGGCGCCGCCGTGAAGCAGTGTCGGGACCTTTTTTTTTGACCCTGACCCTACGGATCTGCGTCACGGGTGCCACCGAATTTCACAAATGTAGCAAATCCCTTATGTTTTTGGACCCTGACCCTACGGATCTACGTGGGGGGTGCCGCGGAATTTCAGAAATGTATCAAATCGATTATGTTTTTGGACTTTGACCCTGCCGATCTGCGTGAGGGGTACCGCTGAATTTCAGAAATGTGGCAAGTCCCATGTGTTTTTGGACCCTGACCCCGCCGATTTGCATGAGGAGTGCCACCGAATTTCAGAAATGTGGCAAATCCCATGTGTTTTTGCACCCTGACTCCGCCGATCTGCGTGAGGGGTGACAATTATTACCCCCCAGAAATTCTGAGAACCCTTTTTGCTGTGGTAAAAATGTCCGTTTTGGGCCTCCCCCCCTCGCGCGGTCCATCAACAAGGAATAGTAAGCAGCAAGAAGTCAACAGGGAACAGTAAGCAGCAAGAAGCATAACTGTAACAGTGGAAACTGGAAGCTGCAACTGGTACAGGAAATAGCGAATTCCCGGCCTACAGCCTGGTGGCCCCGCAAGGGGGCCGGCGGATTTTGGCCTTTTCGGGCCTTCTTGGAGGTCCTCTTTGAGGCATCTCGGGCCGTCTTGGGCCATCTTAGGGCCATCTTCTGCCGTCTTGGTGGGCTCCTGGCCCGCCTGATGCCGTCGGAAGCCGTTTGGAGGGCCTCTCTGGGCCGACTTGGGGCCTTCTTGGAATGCTCCAGGGCCGTCTTGGAGGCCATCTTGGGCGTCTTAAAGGCCTCCTGGGCCGTCTTGGGGGCCTCTTGGGAGGCAATCTGCCAGCGTCCGGGCCGTACCTGTCGCGATGCAAAGTGACAGGCATGATGGGCTTGCGTGCAGTGTGCCAGCATCCCCGCCGTCCTCGTCAAAACTCAAAAACCGAGGTATCGCGGTGTGCCCGCGCATGATCCAGATGTCGTCGCACAGTTCAGCGTGTGCTGCTTATTGAAATGTATGATTGGCCTGCGCACAGCGAGCAGATGCCAGCATCCACGCAGTCCATGTTAAAAACCAATGCGGAGTGATCGCAGGGCGCCCACGCATGATCTAGATTTGGAGGCACGTTGTATGTTGGTTGTGTTATCAGGGATGGTGGGGGGGTTCGGCATGGGTCTCTGTTGGTTGTCGGTCGGGCGGGGGAGGGGGTGTTTATCAATACGGAATTGTGATGAGCCCATCCTAAATGGCAAGAAGGTGTTCGGGAGAGACATATTCGAACACACTCACGCCCTACAGGGCAGGTGGACTTCTCCCTCCTTCCTGCTCAACATCGTTATGCTGATCCCGATCCCATGTCTACCCTGCCCTCTTGTTGCGCTCATGGTCGTCCTTCGTTGCCTCCTCCTCATCTTCCATCCCTTCGCTCCTCTGTCCTTGATTATCCTTCCTACTCCTGCTGCCTCCACTCTCCTCTTCTGTCCTCTCCCCCTCCTGTTAGCTTTCTGGTAGTCATCAGAATTGTTTCGCTGGGACCAGCAGATTCACTAGATAGCATTTGTGGTATTAGGTTCGACGGGTGGACCGACTTCGCGTTAAATATTCATATTGCGCACGGCTTCCAGTGGGAGGAGGCTGGAGAGCAGGGGAAGCAGAGGGTGAAGGACCTGCATACTCAGCAGGAGGGAGGCGACGTCACAACCTGGGAATCGGACGTAAAGGTACAGTGGGTGATATTGCATGCAATATCAGCTTAGCATCCGATTGCGCAAACATAGTGCCTCAGTGCTAGGCTGCGTGCTCTTATAGTCAGGAAGTGCTATGCGATGAAGGCATGATGATCATAAGTTCGGCTACATCGCGCATTCCAATGATGGGCTCGCATCCTGTCCAGATGGCAGCGTTTGCCTGAGACGCTGATCACGTGATTATATTCGGTACTGATAGGTCGGAACAATGACGGCATGAGCGTGACGTAGATGTGAAGAGCGCATCACCCACGTTCTTTTCTCCCACTGGGGAATAGAGGTTCGCCAGCAAGCTAGCCTTCGGCAGCAATTGAAGCAGGAACCCGCGGGACGCAGGGACTGATGAGGATTCAGCCGCGCGCGCGAGGTCGCAATCAATTCACGCGAAGAAGGATCGCAGGCGCCGCATCGAGGGAGCACCTTTGTGACGTCTGTGCTGCTTGTGCCACCTCTCTATGATCACTGGTTCTCGGTCGGACATCTGTCCCGTGCCCCATTGGCCTGCATGACTCGCTCGGGCCTACCGCGTTGCCGAACGTGCGAAGGCCATCAAGATCTGCCTGCCTCCTTCGCATCACCCAGTGCCTCTGTCCACTCGCGCCGTCGCGCGAGCCCTGCCGCCGCGCTGGCGGCGGGCGCCCCGGGGGAGGGGCGGGGGGATGGCGCCGAAGGATCGCCCACTCCGTTCCGACGCTTCGGGTTCTTGTTCAGGGCGTCGGGGCCTTTGGCATTCGGCCCCCCCCACCCCGCGTTCCTCGTCGTCGGGGAGTGGAGGAGGAGGAGGAGGAGCAGGAGGAGGAGGAGGAGGAGGAGTAGGAGGAGCAGTAGCAGAAGCCGCAGCAGGAGGAAAAGGAAGAGGAATTTGGTAGTCCCAGGGCCCTCTCGACCGTATGGCCTTTGTCTGCGGCCGTCGTGAGGTTGTTTTGCCGCCGTCTTGGGCTGTCAAATGGCCTTATGAGGCCGTCTTGGGTCTCACCCGATGCCCTCTTGAGGCCATCTTGGAAGCTTCTTTTCCCTTTCGTGCGTTCACGGTAGCCCGAATGGGCGACAACGCCAGAAGATTTACAACACCTTAGGGACATCAGTGATTGCGGCTCTTGGTGGCGTCTTGGGCCGTCCCGAGTCCGTCCTGGGCCGCCTCGGGTCTGTCTTGAAGGCGTCTTCAACCATCTGAGCGGCCCTGATTGCCTGCCCCGGCCGTCTCGGAAGCTCGGGAGGGCGGATCGATCGTCGGTTTGCAAGGGGTCGTTGAGTCGGAAGCGCGAGGCTGCCGTTTCTTACCCGGGGGGGGCCCGTGGCCTCGGGAAAAAAGCAGGGGCGAGGCACGCAGCTGGTGCGGCGGGAAGGGGGCGGGGCCCCGTGGAAACTCACGGAAGCCCTGCAACGCATCCCTGGGCATGGTGCCCCGCCTTGACGCTCCAGGGGACATGGTGGTGAACACACAGGGGAGCTGCATGCACTGTGCACACGGCACGGCCGGCCTGGTCGAGAGGGGGACGCAGACGTGGCCAGACGTCCTTACAGCGTTCGGCCCTCGCATGCCCAGGCATGGGCTGCCCCGGGGAGGTGTCCCGAGGGAGGCGGGGCCTGCAGACCCCGAGTGGGCGTCACACCAACATACTACGAATACCATGTGTGCATGTGTGCGTTGCCCCCACCAGGGGCGACGTGCGCGCCGAGAAATCTTGTGGCATGTGCTCCGTGGCGTACGCTTTCTTGCCATAGCGCTCGGGGGACGATACATTACGCTTTGCTTTACTATATGCTCGGGTCGGACGCACGCCTCCGAGAAGGATACCTTCTGCTTCACACCAAGGCTTTTCCAATGACCACTTCGTCACCGTCACCTGCGTATTTTTGCGACTGCCCAGGGGCACCTGGAGGACATCCCAGGGGCCCGAAAACGGCTACAGTCTTCGGGGACCCTTTTCCTTTGTGCCATTGTGTATCCATCACATTTTCGGAGTTCCGTTCGGATTTCTTGGATTGGCGTCAGGCCCCCCTGGCGGTGCCTCCAGCGCTGCCCCCGGAGCGCTTTGCGCGCCAGGGAGGGGGTCCAGCGCGGATCCAAGAAACCCGCGTGGAGTTCCGAAAGTTTGTGTTTATGCCATTTTTGTTTCCTCTCATCCACGACCTACAGATGCTCCACACGTGAATTCAGCCGCGTGTGCCTCCTCCTGCGCGCCCCCCGATGACGCTTTGCCTGCTTTGCAGTTGCGCGGAATTCGGGTTCCTCGCGCGAAGTTGCGCTTCTCATCAACGTGGTGCGCTTTTTGTGAAACATGTTGCATAGAGAATGAACGGCCAACTTTCCACGAGCGCGCGTTTTTTTCATTGTCTTGCAAAGTCAAGAAATACATGGTATGTGTTGTTTTTCCCTACCTAGGCTCTGCCTAGAAGGGTTCTTAATCTCTTAGCTTAAAGGGGCCGGGCAGTGTAAAGCGCCCCGGGCGGTTCCCCCAGTCCCCTGGGAGCGGTTCCCCCCAGTCCTTTGGGAGCTTTAGCTTTAGCTTTAGCTTTAGCTTAGCTTTAGCTTAGCTTTAGCTTAGCTTTAGCTTAGCTTTAGCTTAGCTTTAGTTTAGCGTTTCGCTTAGCTGTTCGATTAGCGTTTAGCTTAGCTTTAGCTTAGCTTTAGCTTAGCTTAGCTTTAGCTTAGCTTGAGCTTAGCTGTAACTTAGCTTTAGCTTAGCTTTAGCTTAGCTGTAGCTGAGCTTTAGCTTAGCTGTTGCTCAGCTTTAGCTTAGCTCTAGCTTAGCTTTAGCTTAGCTTTAGCTTAGCTTAATCTTAGTTTTAGCTTAGCTGTGGCTTAGCTTTAGCTTAGCTTTAGCTTAGCTTTAGCTTAGCTTTAGCTTAGCGTTACTGTTACTACTAATGCTGCTTTCCTAGGGGTTCCAACTCCCAGGTAGGGTCGCACTGGGATAAGTTACGACTTGCGTTTTCCTTAGATTCAAGTTGAAAAGGGGCGCGCGCAAAAAAAACGTAATAGATGCGCCGTATTCTTGGTGGCACCCCTCACGCACTTCGCGGCCCCACGTGGGATTGTAGAATTTTGCCAGATGTCTTGAATTGTTGGAATCCACGAAAGTTCGTTAAAGTGCTTGATCTATTTTGATGCAGTGCGTGGAGACAGTGCGCAGGCATCTTGCAGGCCCGTCCGTTTGCCTCCCGGGGGCGCGCGAAATCTCTCCGCCATCGCGCAGCGAAATCAGCGTTCCGCGCAGGTTCGCCGCCAGTTGTTGCTAGAAGCGGTTGAGCACTGTACGCGTCTTCACCACAGGCTTATGATACACCAGCGATCATATCCATGTTTGCTCCCTAGCGCTCTGGATTCCAGGGCGCGATCCCGTGGATACGCGGTCGCACGGATACGTACGTTCCGCGCGGGGCATCCGCGAAAAAGAACGCCTTGCATCCACAGAGTCGCGGCCCAGGGGCATGGCCCGCGACCGCCCACGACCTCCCCGCGACGTGAGGACGTCGCGACGAAAGTCCTTCAGCAGCCTTCGGCCCACGGGCACCCTTCTAGAAGTCCTGGGACCGTCAAGAAAAGGCCAGGCATTCTAGGCCTCCCAGCTGGGGTCCGAGCAGATGGGGTCGGAGGATCGCGCCGCATCGCCGATGCACCGACGATGTATTGGCGATGCGGCTCGGTGTGGAGCCTGATTTTCTCCACGCCCGCGCCGCCGAGACATCGCAGACGTCGTAGACGTCGCCGATGCATCGTCGATGCATCGGCGGCGATGCATCGGCGATGCGGCGCGATCCTCCGACCCCATCTACTCGGACCCCGTTTAGGAGGCCTGGAGTTGTGCAAACTTGAGGAGGAGGAAGAAGAATTAGGAGAAGGCAGGAGGTGCGAGAGGAGGGGGAGGCGGACGAGGAGGAGGGGGAGGAGGAGAGGAGGAGGAGGAGAGGAGGTGGAGGAGGAGGAGGAGGAGCAGCAGCAGGAGGAGGACCCCATTTCGCAGGCCTCCGATTGCCCACGCAGCAGCCTCCGCCGCCCCCCCCCCCCCCACCCGAAGTGCCCAGGGCGCGCAGCTGTCCACCGCCGCGCTCGGCCACCTGGGCGAGGCGCCGCGGCGGGGCCCCCCTTCCCGGCAGCACCCCTTCAGGGCGCGCTTCGATTCCTCCGATTCGATTCGATTCGACTTCGACGGATTCCGATTCCGATTCGATTCGATTTCGGATTCCGATCTGGGGTCAGATTTCTCATTGGACGCATACTGGCCTGCCGATTTCCGCCGATCCGACTTGTCCCGACTCGGCTGCCGATTTCCTCCGATCCGGTTCACTTCGATTGCCGATCAGACTTATCGATTCGATTCTGGGCTCTCCTGCCCATTCCTCCTGGCGTCGCGCACGAGGTTCAGAGGAGGGAAAGGTACCCATACCGCTACTATTCCCCGTTTTCGCCCTCTTTGGGCCTCCTGCCGGGCGGCCCCCGTCGCCGCCGACGGATTCGTTACGACATCCTGGCCAGAACGCACCCTGGGAGAGGCCCGGGGAGGAGCGGCATCGGTGCCGTTTGCTTTCCTCAGGGGTCAGGGGCAACGACGCTAGGGAGAGATAGGCTCGGCGGGGGACGCATCGACCCCCAGTCGCCCATCGATCGCCGATAGGGGCCCGACCGCCCTCCTCCTCCTGGCGTCGCGCAGGAGATCAGGGCAACGCTAGGCGAAGCAAACAAAAAATGCACAGGGGCCCCGTTGGGGCCTGTCAGGGCCCCTGTTGGCTCCAGAAGGGGCCCCAGAGGGACCCTGTGAGGCCCTTCTCGTCACCCCCACTTAAGTCATCTCCCACTTAGGTCACCGAGGATGATGATGATGATGAGGAGGAGGAGGAGGAGGAGGAGGAGGAGGAGGAGACCGGAGGAGGGAGGAGGGAGGAGGGAGGAGGAGTAGGAGGAGGGAGGAGGGATTGTGTTGTTGTTGACCTTCTTGGCTTTTTGAGGGCCCCCAGGGGTCTCTGGAGGACTCCGTGGGACGCTGGGCACCTCCAGGGACCTGTGGGGAATCTCAGTGAAGGCGAAGAGGAGGACAAGGCGGCTCCTCCTCCTCTTCCTCCTCCTCTTCCTCCTCCTCCTCCTCCTGCTCCTCCTCCTCCTCCCCTCGTCATGCAGCGTCGTGACAAAGATCAGGACGGAGGTGTTTCGCAGTTCTCGGCCTCTCGTGGCCCCTCGCTGGGCCCAGGGACTGTCAGCAAAGACGGCTCGGAGCGGAGACCTGGCCCTGGGGAAAGGTCCTTGGGCCCGCGCACGGAAGCCATCGGGACATCGCACGTCTGGGTCTCCGTTGTCGCGCGCGGCTGGCGCGCGGCTCGGAGGGAAGGTCGAGCGGGTGCACGGGACAGGTGTTGGGGGCCGCTTTTGAGCAGAAGGGTGAGAGGGGCACAGTCCAGAAGTTGGGTCCAACAATCCGTGGCCCCCGACCGCGCCCCCCCCTCCCCGGTCGAGACCCAGGGACAGGGGTTAATTCGGGGGGGGGGGAGGGGGGATAAACCTTGCCCCGAGGGTGAAGCAGGAGTTTGGAAGACAATCAAGTGCGCCCGATTGGTGGGATTCGTCCTGCGTGTTCGCCGTTTGGGAGCCTGGCTGCGCATGAAGAGGGAACCGAAACCAGATTTCCACAACCGAAACAACACCACTGTCTTATTCAGGCTGGGGGACACCGGAACAGGACAGTTACCAGGGGGATTTTTGTCTGCATCCCAACGCAGAACGGGCACGAAGATTTGGCGCGGAATCGACGCGGGTAGCGGCCGCGATGGAACAGATAAGATCCCCCGAAGACGCGATGTAAATTTGGGGTTTTGGGTCAAGTCCCTTGGGAACCAGTTTAGGGCGTGACAGGCGGAGGGAAAAGGAGGGGGAGGGGGGGGAGGAGGGGGCGTACAAGCTGCTTATGAGTAGTGCTACGTAATGTTGCCCAAGCTCGACTAAGTTACTCACCAATACTGATATGCAAGTTACCCCGCACGGCTAAGTATGGAAAACTGTTATATGTACCGCAAATGGACTGACACCGCGCGAGCAATACTTGAGCGAAGTTTCCAATACTTAAAGTACATGCAACCGTTACATCTTGCCTTTACTATATTGCATCCAGCTGTACCTTGGTTGCAAGTTGCATAAGAGACGCAATCTTCTCAGTGGGAATCCCGGGGCTGCAAAAAGTGGGATGAGTGAACTCGGGACGAAAAGCAGGACTCGAAGAGGCGGCTACACCGGAGCCTCAGGTGGAGGGGTTCGTGTCGGCCATCTACCGCTTCTTCAGGAGTGTGGACGTAGCCGACGGAGGAGGCCGGGGCTAGTTTCACGTTTGTGTAGCGCAGACAACTAATTGGGCGGTCGTGACAGGGCATGGAGGCGATGTTGGTAGCATAATGTGCATGTGAGGCGTTCCAGAAAAGGCCTCGCATTCAAGCATCGAAGGAGCTGTCATTTCTTCGTTGGCGGAAGGCCGCGGAAGGCCAGCGGAAAGCGGCGGAAGCAAAACGAGGCCGCCTCCGCCGGCGGACGTTGGCGGAAGTAGAAATTTGCCTCCCAAGATTTTAAGAGATGAATCGTTTCTTGGGTGCAGGGTTTCTGGACTCTGCCATGTCGGATAGAGCAGCAGGAGAAGGAAATGCAGAGGACGGATTAGAACGAGGGGGGTAGGGGTGAGGCAGGGCTGCTCACAATCCGACTTGATCGCATCGGATTCCCAAACTTCCATTTCGATCCCGATCTCAACCCGATCCGAGCCGCCACGAGCCGATCCTTCTCTGGCCCGCAGGGGCCGAACTCCAGGGGCGACCCTTCAGCAGACCGATCTCGATCCGCTTCCGCGCCGTTGCGGGCGCGAGCCGATCCGTCTCCAGCCCCGTCCGATGGCGTGATCCGAGCCAGCTCGGGCCTGCCGGGCCAGAGAAGCACGAGGAGCGGTTTTTCCCGATCGGCGGCGACACTGCCCCTCTCTCTACGTCGAGCGCGCGAGGAACCTCGACCGAAATTGCGACTGATACAACCAGCTCTTCCACCACGACCTCGTCTACATTCGCTCGCGGTGACGCGAACGATCCCTACATCTCCGACCTACAGGATCGACGCCTCGCGAACCTTTCCCTGTCTCCGGCCGCTCGTGGTAACACGGCCGGCACCATCACTACCTCCAGATGTACCACGGCCCCGTCTACAGAATACATTACTTGGGACTGATGGTGTACGGTCTGACTGCGGCGGCCAGTGGAGTTGTTCTTGGACTTTTGAGCCGCGAGCGAGAGGGCGACCAGACGAGGGATCCGACCTCGGACCCAACGAGATCTGTCCCGTGCCGCGCCTGGGTTCTCGAGGTGCACGCCTGGCTGAACGTCCACTCTGGACGCATGACACCGTCGCAGCAAGCTGCAGCATTACAACGTGGTCTTCCAGGCCTGGCACGCGCGGTAGCTATGGGGATCCCACCTGCCGTCGTTAGTTTCGGAGTGTCGCTTGCGATCGGTGCCATTGGGCCTGGAGGACATGACGCCGTGCTCGTCGAGCGTCCTCGGGGTGCGCGAATGCCAGCGTGGCGAATTGCACCACGTAGCCTGGACAACATATATTCCACCACGTAGAGCGCACAGCATAGCTTGCACCACGTGTGTTTCTCCATACCGATTGAACCACATACGTTTTCCACATGTATTGCAGTACATCGCTTGCACCGTGTAGGGTTTACCATGTATCGAGCAACACACACACACACACACATTGCAGCGTACACGGAATAGCTTTCAACATACAGGCTGCACATCGAGGTTGCAGGAGTTTATTATGTGGGATCCACGTTAACAGACATGCATGTAGTTGTTTTGTCATCGTTTTCGAATCGTTCGGGTGCCCTACGCAGCGATTATGTGACAATCCCACGCAACGCTTCTACTACAAGGTGTCCGTCTGGCATGGCTTTTGCATCGTATATCCCACATGTTCTCGCGGGTTGTCTTCATGACCCCCCGTATGGTCATTGGCTTGTGCATTATAGTAAGATGGTATCTTCCTGTTTGAAGCATGTTTTGTATTGCTTAGGGCCTTTTTCCTGCCAGGGATTTCTGTTGGTGAGTTCAGTCATGGTTATAGTGCGCTGCTTGCGCACCCTCCCAATTATACCACCATATCACATTCTTTGTGAGCTCCCCGTACTTCGCCAGCCGCATCCCGATGCCAATTGACCTAGCCTTCGGTGTGTGGCGGCACCCGCCCTTCAGCGCCAGCTTTGGAAACGTGCTGCCCGCTCCCATTTTCTCCCTCCGAAGCAATGCGCCGGTTTTCTCTCTCGCTGTCGCTCTCTCTCTTTCTCGCTCTCTCTCTCTCTCTCCCTTTCGCGCAACAGCTTGCATTGCGTTGCCGGTGTGCCGCATCTGCGCCACCACGCATGGCGCAACGCCCTCGACGTTTGGCCAAGTGCGCGGCGGCGCGCGCGATCTCAATCGCGGCGCGAGACCCCGACACTTATGGCCGCACGCCCAGGTTCTGCGGATGCGGCGCATGTCATGTTCCCCCATGTCGAGGGGGCGGCGTGGGTGCAGAGGCGAGGAGGGAACTCCCTCCAGGGCGCCGCCGAGGCAGATGCCGATGGGGCTGGGTCACGGGCGTCGCGGGCGCGTGCAGGAGCAACCCCCTCCCAACAGTTCTGTGGAGGGGGTGGGTTGCGTGCGCGCGTTCGGTACCAGCATTTGTTTGTGATTATGCCTCCCTTTCTCTCTCACCCTCCTCCCTTCCCCCCCCTCTCTCCCTCCCCCCCTGTTGTTTCCCCCCCTTTCCTCCACCGCCCACTCCTTCTGCTACCCTCCCTCAGAAGCTTGCGCAACTGGCGCACAGCGGCGCGAGCTTGGCGAACGCCACATTCTAAGCAGAGAGCTAGCTGACCACGCTGCCAAGCAAAGAACGAAGCTGAACGAGCAAAGAATCAGCAACCGTACCATCATAAGTTTCACATGGTAGCAGATGCTGTGGAATTTGCACGATGACCGACGAGGCACCGATGGTAGAATCACGAATGTCGGAGGGAGCACGGCCGTCGAGTAACACCACCCCCCGCTCATGTGTCCTTCTCCTCCTCCTGCCTGCTCCTCGTCCCCCCCATCACCCCCCGCTCATGTCTCCTTTTCCTCCTCCTTCTCCTCTTTCCCCTCGTACTTCGGTCGAGAGCGAACCGACGGCTGACTCCGAAGTTCTCGAGATCACCCGCCACGATCGCACTCTGAAGGCACGACTACTGGGCCACCATTTGGAGATTCGGCCAACTTTGTATCTTGTCGCCTGCGCACCTCCTGCGCCCACTGCAAGTGGACAGCTCTGCAGAACAGCCCTTGTGAGAGGCCACGGTTCGGTTCTGCAAGGGTATACCGGACGCGCTCGTGGGATGGACGCTGTCCCAATCCAGGGGCTCCCGGGCCGAACAGTCCTGCAGTGATTCGGTGGGCTCTCCCTGCCCCGACCAAAGGTGAGAGATCCATCTCGGCCGAACAAGACTCCCCCCCCTCCCCCCCTCAGCCTCCCCTCTCCACCGCTCTCCTATGGCGCGAGGCGGGCGGGCCCCGTGGGGCGGGGAAACACGGGGGAGGAGGAGGGAAGGCGTGGGGATCTCGTCCGGCCGAGAACTCAGTCACCGCTCTCCCCCCCACAGGTCCCGACCCATCCCCCGGGACTGGTGTTTCATCCCGAGTCGTTTTTCGGCGCTCCCGAGGCCCGGTCAGGGCCCCCGGAAGGCGAAGAGAGCGATGTGCCCCCGTCGCGAGTTTTCCATGATTCGAGGGGGCCTGGGTCCCCTCCCCCTCCCGCCTGCCCCGCCCTCACCCCAGCCACCCTCCCCCCCGTTCGCCCTAGCCGCCGCGCGGCCCCGCCTGCCGCAAAGGCCGCCCAAGCACGCCGAGCACCCCGCCAGCTGCTGGCAGCCCCCCCCCGCGCGCGGGGGGCCAGGCGAGGGCAACGCCAGAGTTAAGTCGGGCATGTCCCCCTACAGGGAGATTTTCGACGAAAAATAAATTACCCGTACCCAGCCCATTTATATCAATGGAAACAATGAGTTGGCCGAAGCTTATATGGACAGTCAACTTGATGTGTAAGCTACTTGGGAGGCGTCACTGTGCTGGGCCCCGCCAGCAGGCCTCGAAAGTGGCGACAGTTTCACAGATCGCAACCCCCCAGGGATGGCGAGGTCTAATTTGAATCTGCGTGTGGCATCACTGTGCTGGGCCCCCCAGCAGGCCTCGAAAGTGGCGACAGTTTCACAGATCGCAGCCCCCCAGGGATGGCGAGGTCTCATTTGAGTCCGCCGTGGGTACCCACTGCGCTGGGCCCCCCAGCGGGCCTCGAAAGTGGCGACAGTTTCACAGATCGCAGCCCCCCAGGGACGGCGAGGTCTCATTTGAGTCCGCCGTGGGTACCCACTGTGCTGGGCTCCCCAGCAGGCCTCGAAAGTGGCGACCGTTTCGCAGATCGCAGCCCCCCAGGGATGGCGAGGTCTAATTTGAGTCCGCCGTGGGTACCTACTGTGCTGGGCCCCCCAGCAGCCCTCGAAAGTGGTGACAGCTTTGCAGGTCGCAGCCCCCCAGGGATGGCGAGGTCCCATTTGAATCCGCCGCGGGTGCAGACTGTGCTGGGCCCCCCAGCAGGCCTCGAAAGTGGCGACAGTTTCACAGATCGCGGCCCCCCAGGGATGGCAAGGTCTCATTTGAGTCCGCCGTGGGTGCAGACTGTGCTGGGCCCCCCAGCAGTCCTCGAAAGTGGCGACAGTTTCACAGATCGCAGCCCCCCAGGGATGGCGAGGTCTCATTTGAGTCCGCCGCGGGTGCAGACTGTGCTGGGATGGCGAGGTCGCATTTGAGTCCGCCGTGGGTACCCACTATGCTGGGCCCCCCAGCAGCCTTCGAAAGTGGCCACAGTTTCGCAGATCGCAGCCCCCCAGGGATGGCGAGGTCCCATTTGAGTCCGCCGCGGGTGCAGACTGTGCTGGGCCCCCCAGCAGGCTTCGAAAGTGGCGACAGTTTTGCAGGTCGCAGCCCCCCAGGGATGGCGAGGTCTCATTTCAGTCCGCCGCGGGTGCAGACTGTGCTGGGCCCCCCAGCAGCCCTCGAAAGTGGCGACGGTTTCACAGATCGCAGCCCCCCAGGGTGGCGAGGTTCCATTTGATTCCGCCGCGGGTGCAGACTGCGTGGGCCCCCCAGCAGGCCCCGAAAGTGGCGACAGTTTCACAGATCGCAGCCCCCCAGGGATGGCGAGGTTCCATTTGAGTCCGCCGCGGGTGCAGACTGTGCTGGGCCCCCCAGCAGGCATCGAAAGTTGCCACAGTTTCGCAGATCGCGGCCCCCCAGGGAGGCGATGTCTAATTTGAATCCGCCGCGGGTGCAGACTGTGCTGGGCCCCCCAGCAGCCTTCGAAAGTGGCGACAGTTTCGCAGATCGCAGCCCCCCAGGGATGGCGAGATCCCATTTGAGTCCGCCGCGGGTGCAGACTGTGCTGAGCAGGCCTCAAAACTGGCGACAGTTTTACAGATCGCAGCCCCCCAGGGATGGCGAGGTCTAGTTTGAATCTGCCGCGGGTGCAGACTGTGCTGGGCCCCGCCAGCAGGCTTCGAAAGTGGCGACCGTTTCGCAGATCGCAGCCCCCCAGGGATGGCGAGGTCCCATTTGAGTCCGCCGCGGGTGCAGACTGTGCTGGCCCCCCCAGCAGCCCTCGAAAGTGGCGACAGTTTCACAGATCGCAGCCCCCCAGGGATGGCGATGTCTAATATGTGTCCCCGTAGCGCGTCACTCCGCTGCCCCCCCTAGCAGCCCTCGAAAGTGGCGACACTTTCACAGATCGCAGCCCCCCAGGGATGGCGATGTCCAACCTGAGTCCCCGTAGCGCGTCACTGTACTGGGCCCCCCAGCGGCCCTCGAAAGTGGCGACAGTTTCACAGATCGCAGCCCCCCAGGGATGGCGAGGTCTAATCAGAGTCCCCGTAAGACGTCACTGTGCTGGGCCCCACAGCAGCCATCGAAAGTGGTGACAGTTTCACAGATCGCAGCCCCCCAGGGATGGCGATGTCTAATCTGGGTCCCCGTAGCGCGTCACTGCGCCGGGCCCCACAGCAGGCATCGAAAGTGGCGACACTTTCACAGATCGCAGCCCCCCAGGGATGGCGATGTCCAACCTGAGTCCCCCTAGCGCGTCACTGTGCTGGCCCCCCAGCAGGCCTCGAAAGTGGCGACAGTTTCACAGATCGCAGCCCCCCAGGGATGGCGATGTCCAATCTGAGTCCCCGTAGCGCGTCACTCCGCTGCCCCCCCCCAGCAGCCCTCGAAAGTGGCGACAGTTTCACGGATCGCAGCCCCCCAGCGATGGCGAGGTCTAATCTGAGTCCCCGTAAGACGTCACTGTGCTGGGCCCCCCAGCAGCCCTCGAAAGTGGCGACAGTTTCACAGATCGGGAGAAGGGAGGAGAGGAGGGGACGGGAAGGAGGAGGAGAGGAGGGGAGACGCGACCGCAGTGCTCTATTCAAAACGAGTACCCAACGCAGGAGGATTGCAAAAGATACTCCAAAAGTAATAAACAATTGGCCGAAAATAGTCTGGGGATAATTTCTTGGGTATTTTTGGCCTTGGGGTATTCTGGTGTATTTTTGATTTCTCGTCGAAAATCCCCCTGTAGGGGGACAGGCCCGACATAACATAACCCAACGCCAGGGGGGGAGGGGGGGGCGCAGGCTCCGGAGAGGGGCCGCGCGGCCCGAGGGGGTCGGCTCCCAGAGGCCCACTGTCGGGGTCATTGGGCGGCTCGCGGCGGGCAGCCCATGTCAGGAGGGGAACAAAAGCACACAGACACAATTCATCGTCGATTCCCCAGAACGTATCGGAGAATATGGGAAGTGGGGGGGAAAACAAAGGCCCAGAAAATACAGGAGACTGTGGGAAATCCTGTTATTTTGTGTGTATTTCTTTGTGTGTCCCAGGGCCCCTTCACTATAGCCTGTCTCTTGTTCGGGCGAGAGGGGGGTTTGGCGCGAGGCTCGCGCGGCCTCTGGGGCATCACGCTCGGCTCCGCGAGAGGCATCACCACATGCGCAGTCCGCCAAGAAGCCCGCGCTGTCGTCACGGATGCGGTGCGGAATCGCGCCAGTGCCACGAGGAGTGTCGAAGGCCCTGCTGCGGCGGGCAGCTCTCCGCTCTCTTGTCGGCCTCCGGAGGCCCTTCCCGGGCCTCGAGCCCGTCAACACGGTCGGGGCTCAAGATCGGGGGCGGCCAAGAGGGGGTGATGGCTGGTTGGGGGGGGGATCTCATGGCGCTGGCCATGTCATGTCGCCAGATTTCATGGCGCCTCTTATTTCAATGCGTCCCTGGCCCCCCCCCCTTAGGCCGCGCACATGCCGCCGGCAATGATTGGCGCCCCCCCCTCTTGGACGCCCCCCTCTTGGCCGCCCCCGACAAGAGACGGGGGTCAATGCAAACGGGGGTCAGTCAGAGCGCTGGATCTTTCAGGATTCTGCAGAGCCAGGGTTGCATTGACCTGGGCTTGGGTGCAGGATACTGCAGGATAGTGCAGGACCTTGCAGGATCCTGCACGGCCTGACTTACCTGGGTCTAGATTGACCCGGGTCAGAAGATCCCCGACATAACGGTTCAGGATGAAAAATGTTCCATGGAGTGGAGCGTCCAAGAGGGGCGTGATGATTTGGGCTTCGGGATCTTGGCGCTGAAAACATGGGAGCGGCCGATTCTGGGCAATGTTCTGCCTCCGGGGGCCCTCACGGGGTCCCGGGTCCGTCAACAGAAACGGCTCAGCATGATATGGCGGAGGGAAGTTGTCCAGACCTCCGGCGGTCCACACATCGAAACATTTGGAGCGCCGGGTGTTTTGGGGGGCGGGGGGGGGATCTCATGGCCAGGGCCGTGAGATATCCAGGGCCATCATATCTCCTCAGGTGTCGTGGCTCCTCCTCTCACTCCAGTATGTTCCCTGCGCCCCCCCCTCACTGGGTCGCGCACCTGCCTCGGGCCATGATCGGCGAGCCCACCTCTTGGCCACCCCCCTCCTCGGAGGCCCCGGACAGGATCAGCCACGCGCAGAGGGGGGTGGGGGGAGGGGGGGAGGGCTTCTTAGAAGCACCCCTGCTTCTTAGAAGGCACGGGCCTGAACTACAGATGTAAGGCCGGCGCCTTCTAGGAAGCAGCCTCTTTCTAAGAAGCCCTCCCCCCTCGCTCCACCCCCTTGTGCGCGCCGCCAACAGGAGGGGCCTCGAGGTTTGGGGCACGAGGTATTCGGGTGCTCTCGCAATCTCTGCGCGGTTTTCCAGCCTCGTGGTGCCTTCCAGCGGCGGCGCCTCGCCGAGAGCGCGTTCCGGTTGAGTGCACGCGATCAACCCGAACGGCCGCTGGAGGGCCGAGCAGTGACCTGAAAGCTTAAGTGGCCACGCTCGGGGGGGCAGGCTTAAGTCGGGCCTGTCCCCCTACAGGCCGACTTCGGACGAAATATCAAAAATAGTCGAACAATGTTTAAACAACTATATATTTATATATATATATATATAAGCCAATAAAATCCTCCCAAGACTTTTGTTCACTAGTTTTGAGTATATTCCTCCTGTAGGGGGACAGGCCCGACTTCGGGGTAGGCTCGGGGGAGGACGCGTCGACCTCCCGTCGCCCGTCGCTCGCCGATAGGGGGGCCTGATCGCCCACCCCCCGCCCCGGAGCTCGCGAAGACTCGCCGGGGACCCATCGCCGGCACCTCGGCGACGTGCCGCCGACTCCCGGGCGATGTGCTCCCCCCCCCGAGACGGTCCCCCGCCCTCGTCTTATGATGTTCCAGCCTACTCTAGCCTTGACCACCAGAGCATTTCGAGCGCCAGAAAAATGCCCCCCAAACTCGAGGGTTTTCACGTGTCGGGCCCTGGGAGACACTGTTTCGACACTCTTTCGACACTTTTCCAGGTGCCCGAAATTATTTCTGGGATGTGGTTCTTCAGTACGATGGGAGCAGCGTAACCCACGTCCTTGCCCACCCCGGCATCCGCTCTTTTGGGGCCCCTCGCCGATCCGTCGGCGCTGTATCGCCCACTCCGCGTCGATGTGCTTTCCATCCCCCCTCGGAGCCGGTCCCCCCCGTCCGTATCGTCGCACTTCGGGCAGGGCGGGATGCTCCGGGCCTGGGGGCCCAGCGAGGGCCCCAGGACCGTCAGCAAAGCGTGCCTGGACGAAACGTCGGCCTGGGGAAAGGGCCGGGCGTTCCGGGGAATCCGTGCTGAGAGCATGAGAGCGTCGGATGCTGGGGTTTCGATCCGATCTGTCGGGCTCGGTGTCGCTGTGGAGCGGCGTCGTTGTGCATCCTGGTCGGTCTCGGCTCCGTGCAAGTGTGGCCCGATCCTGCGCACATCTCGGCCAGGTCCGATCTCCGGGTCGATGACGACTGGTCCTGGAGGAGGGCGGGAGGGAGGGAGGGGCGGGGCGGCTCTGTCGACGGTGCAGGCATGTCGCCGCCAGATCTCATGCCGCGCCTTATGCTGGCTCGCGGCAGGCAGGTGGGCCAACCAAGACACCCGACCCGATCTGGGAACCCACCATAGAGTGAGCGGCTTGAATCAGGAACACTTACTTTTCAAAAGGGGTTCGGTCGTTCCTTAGCTTTGCATGCGTGATTTATCGTTCCTTAGGCGGTATGTATTATTTATCTGATGCGTTATTCCTTGGAAACCATGGGCTTCGTTCCTTATAGCTATCGTTCCTTAGGTCAGGCCGATGACTGTAAGGCGGATGCGCAGGGCGGGAGGAGCGGGTGCACGGTGAAGGCCGCTCCCAAGGATCAGACGGAGAACGACGACGGAGTACGCCGAGGAGGAGCACTAGGAGTGACGACCCCGAGCTCCCGAGGCACCTGGAGGGTCTGTGGAGTTCCCCGCGGAGCCCCCTCAGGAGGCGCAGGAGGGGCCAGGGGCGCCTCGCAGATTCGACCCGCGATCCCCGAGCCTCGGCCTTTGAACCCTCGACGCTCGCCTCGACGCCCTCGACGCTCTCGGCGCCCTCGGCGCCCTCGGCGCCCTCCGATCGTGCCGCAGGTCGCAGCTGCGGCGATGACGCCGCCCCGAGCGAGCAGGGCCCTCCCGGCTCGGGGCGCCCGCGGGCCCCGGTCCCGGCTCCCCGCGCTGCGCGCGCGTTCCCGCCGCCGCTTTGTGCTCGGCCCTCCGCCGCGCCACGTCTCCACACGCACGCACACGCGCACACACACACAATCGCTCACACGCATAGACACACGCGCAGACACGTACGCACAGACACGCCCGCACGCCCGCACACACGCACGCACGCACAGCACAACACACTCAGCACAACACACTCAGCACCTTTATATATATATACACACACCACAACACGCGCGCGGTCTCGCCCGCACGTCTCAACACACCAAGGCTGCTCGAGGCTACGGCTCCACCTCACCCGGTCCCACGAGGCCCCGGCACCTGTCCGCAGCAGTGGTTCGTTCGCGCGTTCGCTCGCTCCGCCGCGCCAGGCGACCTCGAGAGGCCCGGCAGCGACGGCTCCGACGGAGGCGCCCTGCGGCTGCCGTCGGGCGCCCCGCGGCTGCCGTCGGGCGTTTCGGAGCAGAGAGCGGCACTCTTGCGGCAGAAGACCCCGCACGGCTTCACACAGTGACGATTGGGGGCGCGATGGAGGGTCACAAAGGGGTGCCAAGACGGGGATCGGGGCGCGATGGGGGGGGGTGGCGCATCAGGGACAGGGAGTATAGGTAGGGATATGAAACAGGGGTGCAGGGCTAGGGACCTAGAGGGAGAGGGATCGGGATCGGGATGACGACAGGGACAGGCGTAGTTCGGGCTAGGGCTATAGGATAGGGAGAGGGGCTGTAGGATAGGGAGAGGGATCAAAGGGGCGCGCTGCTCTGTGCCATTTGTGCTGGCGGGCCTGCCAGGCGCATTCATTTTCGTGATTGTGGCGTCACTGCGTTCCTTTCCTCCCCCTCCCCCCCCCCCGGCTGGCTCCCTCGCTGTGGCGCACGAGGACTTTCAGAATTCGGGGGGGGGTTCGTTCCAGTTGTTAGGGACCGTGCCGCGGTTCCTTGTTTGATGTTGCGTAACACTTGCCCGTGTGTATGCATTATCGGCCAGATCCGATTGGGATGCAGCCACAGCAGTTTCGTACATCGGCCGTGACCTCGTGTCTGCGCTCTTTCTCTATTGTGCTCCCCTTGCTCTCCCCCTTTTTCTCTCCTGAGTTGAGCGATGGCTTGACGTCGCGTGAAGTTGGCGTCTCAGCCCAGGATGTGTTGCGGCAGTGCTCTCGGGTCGTTTCTTCGGGAAGGGCGGTACAGCGTTGCACAGTGCAGCATCGGCCTTCACCCCTCTCGATTGGGGTAGCGGAGCTGCTTCGCCACCTTGTTTCAAGTGGTTCGTGATGCGAACGGTACGCGCGCAAGCTGACACCTTGTTGATGCTGTGTTGACGAAGCGAAGAAACGAGTGGGATTCAAGGGATGGGCATAGGAAGAGAGACAAGTGGACAGGGGTAATGATGGGAGACAACGGGAGGCAATGGGAGACGCATGGAGGCAATGTGAAGACAACGGGAAACAATGGAGGACACTTGCCGTGAGCCAGAGACAATGGGGATAGGGATAGGGATAGGGCTGGAGGTACGGATAGTGATCTGAACAGGGATACGGAAATGGAAACAATGGGGTGCAACGGGAAGCAATGGGATACAATGCCCGATTCTGGATCTGGAGATCCACTTCGTAATTTTTTGGAGTGACTACGTAGCAGCCTTACAGAGGCTTTTCGGGGAACTCAGACACGTATTAATACTAAGACTAGCTAATATTATACACACATTCATAAGACGAGTCAATTACTATGATGTATGTACCAGTGGTAATATCAATATTTTTCCTGACCGTGGTCCTACTACGAAGGCGAGTACGAAGGGTAACGATTTTCGTGCGATGGACAGCAATTGGAGACCACAGACAATGGGAGGCCACGGGAAACCATGGGAGACCAAGGCGCCCGACCGATTCCAGAAGCGGCGATCCCCGTGGTCAGCTTCTTAGAAAAGTCATACGTGAGCTTTACGGACAAGCTGTTTGGGGGAAAGATTCCCTCGCCGCCACGGCTCGATTCGCCTCGGAATCTTTGTCAGAACGCCCCCCAGAGAGGTCCGGCGAGCAGCGGTATCGGAACCTTCCTGCCCCCAAGGGCGGCCGCGCCGCCGTTTCTCTCCACCGACGACGTCCTCGTCGTCGTCTTCTTCGCCGCCGCCGTCGCCGCCGCCTTCCCCGCCGTCGTCGTCTTTGTCGCCGCCCTGCCGCCGCTGTCCTCGTCCTCGGCGTCGTCTTCATTCGCCGCCGCCACCGTCGTTGTCGCGCCCTGTCGCCGCCGTCCTCGTCCTAGTCGTCGTCTTCATTCGTCGCCGTCGCCGTCGTCGTCGCCGCCGTCCTCGCCGCCGTCGTCTTCACAACCGGCCTGCCGCCGTCGCCGTCGTCGTCGTCCTCGTCTTTCTTCGACGCTGCCGCCGTCGTCCTCGCCGCCGTCCTCGCCGCCGTCGTCTCCGCCACCAGCCTGCCGCCGCTGTCGCCGCCAGTGCGAGCGGAGCCGCAAGGGCGCTCTCCCTGGCGCGCGGGGCGTGCGCGCGGGGTCTCCCAGCAGGGTGGGCCTGAGCGGGCGGGTTTGCGGGCGGGCGGCGTCGTCGTCGTCGTTCGTCGGCGAGGGTCGAGGCTTTCTTCGACGTTCGTCTTCGTCGTTCGTCGTCATCTCCGTGCGTCGTTGATCGTCGGTCGAGGGTTGAGGCTTTGTTAGGACGTGCCTCCCCGAGGACCTCCAGAGGCGTTTTGGGCGGCCGCCGCCGCCGCCGTCGTCGTCGCCTGCGATATCGGCATCGTCGTCGTCATCGTCGTCGTCGTCGTCGTTGTCGCCGCCGTCGTCGTCGTCGTCGCTTTCCAACACATTTGTTTGCTCCCTGTGCCAGTTTTAGGAGCTTCTGGGGGAGGTCCTTCGCGGCCGCGGCTGGACGCAGCTCGAGACATTGCCGAGGACGGCGTTTGGGGCAGGTCTGTGCGTTGATTTTGGAAATTGCGGGTGCGGGGGGGAGCAGACCTCGGAGCGTCTGGAGATCTGGCGTCGTTCGAGCTTCAAGATACGAGGTTCCTGGACGCGTGCTCGGCCATTTTTGGTCTAGTCTTCACGGCTGGATCCGCCTGACATTTTGGCTGCAGCGCAGCCCTGGAAAGGACCAGGGGTCTGTTTGTGAAGGGCCCCTTGGAGGCGTCAGGGGCGCACCCACAGAAGGCCTGGGGCCGCTTGGGAGGGTTCAGTATGAACGACCACAACTTCTGAACGTACGTGTTTTTGTTTGTCATCCTCTTCGTCCTCCTTGTCCACGTCCTTCCCCTCAATCATCCTTCCTCGTCGCCCTCCTTCCCCTCCCTCCTTCCCCTCCCCATCCCTCTTCCAACGCCAGTTTGCTTTTTCCACAGTCCTTGGGTGCGTCTGACCGCCTCGTGAACCAGCCGCGTTCGAGCGGGCTGCTGGTGCTGCTCCGCTCTGCTGCCCCTCTGGGGCGCCGCCCACGCACTGCCAGACAAGGATTTAGCCAGACTCCTGCCTCCCTGCTTCCTGCACCTCTCCGCTCCCCTCGGCCCTCGCCTCCCCCCCTGCTTCTCCTCCGTCCCCGACGGCGGCGTACGACGACGGACGACCGGCGACCCACGGTCAGACGGCCTTTGCGGCGACCGCGACGACGAGCGGTGCGCGCGGCGCGGCGAGAGACCGCGACGAGGGGCGCACGGCCGACGCCGCTCCAGGCGGCGACGGCGCGGCGAACGGCCCTTGCGGCGGCGGACGACGGGCGGCGACCAGCCACGGCGCGGCCAGCGATCCTGGCGGCGGCGGCGGGTGCGCGGGCGGCGGCGCCCCGCCCCCCTCGCCCCCCGAGGCCCCGACGGCGGGGAGGCGCGGGCGGTCCGCCCCGTCCTCGACCGCGCGGTGCTCGGCCACTGCATGTGCGTGGACTGCGGCCACAACGGCGTCATCAGCGATGGCGAGGCCGAGCCCCCCCACCGGAGGGTGTCTCCGGAGGCCTCAGGCGACCCGTTCTCCTCTCTCCTCCTCCTCCTCCTCCTCCTCCTCCTCCCTCCCTCCCTCCCTCCCTCCCTCCCTCCCTCCCTCCTCCTCCTCCCTCCTCCCTCCTCCCTCCTCCCTCCTCCCTCCTCTTCTCCTCCTTCTCCTCCTCTCCCTCCTCCATCCTCCCCTCCTCCCTCCTCCTCCCTCCTCCCTCCTCCCTCCTCCCCCCTCCCCCCTCCTCCTCCTCCTCCTCCTCCTCCTCCTCCTCCTCCTCCTCCTCCTCCTCCCCTCCTCCCTCCTCCCTCCTCCCTCCTCCCTCCTCCCTCCTCCCTCCTCCCCCTCCCTCCTCTCCTCCTCCTCCCCTCCTCCCTCCTCCCTCCTCCCTCCTCCTCCTCCCTCCTCCCTCCTCCCCTCCTCCCTCCTCCCTCCCTCCCTCCCTCCCTCCCTCCCTCCCCTCCCTCCCTCCCCTCCTCCCCCTCCTCCCCCTCCTCCCTCCTCCTCCCTCCCTCCTCCCTCCTCCCTCCTCCCTCCTCCCCCTCCTCCCTCCTCCCTCCTCCCTCCTCCCCCTCCCTCCTCCCCCCTCCCTCCCCCCCCCCCCCCTCCCTCCTCCCCCTCCCCCTCCCTCCTCCTCCTCCTCCTCCTCCTCCTCCTCCTCCTCCTCCTCCTCCCCCTCCTCCTCCTCCTCCTCCTCCTCCTCCTCCTCCTCCTTCTCCTCCTCCTGCCCCCCCCCCTTTTCGCCCTCCCCTTCTCGGGTCGCCTACAGCCCCAGGGGAAACCGTCCACCCCCCACCCACCCCCAGGGGCGAGGCTTCGGGGGCTCGCCACGGGGGAATCGGGTCCTCAGGGAATCGTGGCCTCCCAGATGGAGTCCGAGTAGATGGGGTCGGAGGATCACGCCGCATCGACGATGCATCGGCGATGCGTCTCGATGTGGAGCCCGATTTCCTCCACGCTGGCGTCGCCGATGCATCTCGGATGTCGCCGACGCATCGGCGATGCATCGTCGATGTATCACCGATGTATCGGCGATGCGGCGCGATCCTCCGACCCCATCTACTCCCACCCCATCTAGGAGTCCGCAAGGGAAGCGGTTCCCGGGTTTTTTGCCGTCTTCGGGCATTCCGGGCCCGCAAACGGGCCCAGGGCTTGTCAGGAAACGGCTGAGGATGAGGAGTTCGTCCTGGGGGAAGGCCCCAGGGTCCAGGACCCGTTTCCCTCAGGACCTGTTTCCCCCATGTTCAAGGGAGCGAGAGATCGCGATAATTAGGGATACGGTCGAAAACGAAGCTAAGGATGGGTGGTTTTCGCAAGGGTGTATCCTTTTGCACCCTTGCCTCATCGGTGCATCCTGAACCACTTTTGATGGCCAGCCCCGCTCGGAAAGCTTCGACGTGAGCGTCCAAGGTGCTCTCATCCTTAACGCGCATCCTTACTACCACCCAAGATTTTCATTGGTGTCCTGATGGTCCACAGGGGCCGCAGAAAGGAGGGCCGATGAGCACTTCGGGCGTCCTGGAACGAATCCTGAGACGCCGGCACCCAGGGCGAGCTTCTCTAGACCTCCCATAGGGGGTCCGAGCAGATGGGTTCGGAGGATCGCGCCGCATCGCCGATGCATCGGCGATGCGGCTCGATGTGGAGCCCGATTTTCTCCACGCCGACGGTGAAGATGCATCGCCGACGTCGCCGATGCTCGCCAATACATCGGCGATGCCTCGGCGATGCGGCCGTATCCTCCGACCCCATCTACTTGGACCCCTCTAGAAGGTGATGATAATGAATCGTTGCGGGGTGTCCCAGATCGTCATAGAGGTCCTGATCGTCCATAGGGGCTGCAAAGCCGGGAGCCGCTGGATACTTCGGGCATCCTGGAACGCATCCTGAGCCAATCGCATCGTGACACCATTCTCGTCCTAGAGTTGGCGGCGCTGACAACAGAGTAGCGCAAGGGGGTGGCCTTCTCAGAAGGTGGGGTGGTTCAGGCGGGGGACTCCTTTTTTGAAGCGCCAGGAGGCTTCTAAGATGGCTTTGAGAAGCCGGGATGGTTTTTAAGGAACCCCTTGCCTTCAAGAAGCCCCCCCAGGCTTCTCATAAGGCAGCCCCCCCCTACCGGCGCCTCCCTCTTCTTCGCGCAGCGTAGCCAGGGGCGTCCGCATCTCTCCGTCGTCGCGCTTTCATTCCAGTCGTCGTCGTCGACGTCGTCGTCGTCGTCGTCGTCGCTTTCATTCCAGTCGTTTGTGTGAGCTCGTGCTCGGTGTCCCCCCTGGTCGGGGGGGCTTGGGCTCCTCGCGAACAGCAGCAGGGCGGCGGACACAAATCTTCGGAGGTCCGCGCGGATCTCTTCGACCGTCTCTCTGGACCGCCCCCGTTCTGGCGCGCGAAGCGCGCCATGGACAGAAGTGGAGGCACCGCCAGGGCGGCGACCCTATGAATCTGCATTGACCTCCGAATGTGATGTTTATGCAGAGTGTTCTTTATTATCAGCAGGTGGAGTTCATCCCCCTCGCATCCTCGTCTCTCCGGAAGCCGCGATCTCCTGATCTGCGGGTCTTCCTCGAGGGGGGAATTGGTCAGAGCAGGAGAACATACAGATGCTGGAGCCCTGCCCTCGTTGTCAGTGTTTCGGGCTTCCTGGGGTTGTGCCCTCGTCACCACGGCTGGATTCGGTGCTGAGTCTTGGCCAGATCGCTCCCGCGAGAGGTCTGGGGACTGCATACCTGTTATGTTCGTCTCCAGGCTGGGGGGGAGGGAGGCGTTCTGTGATGCTCGGCAGGTTCGGCGGCGTTCCTATGCTCTTCAGTGCCGCTGGATGTGCCCGGGAGGCAGTTCGATCCGCCCACCTCCTCTTGGAGACCCATCGGCTCTCGAGCTCTCCCGAGGTCGAGCCTCTTGGAGGCGTCCCGAGGCGCTCGAACGGCGGGGATGAGGATGGTCGTCGACGGTCTCTGGGCCCCCCCCCCGCTCCCCCTGCTCTTCCACGCCCTGTCCTCCCCCTCCGTCCTCGGGTCCCTTCCCTGCTCTAGGGGAACAAAAAGTGACATAAACATAGAAACTCGGAGGTCCGCTGAGGTGTGTTCGTTCGTCGGACGCACTCTTGGTGCGCTCTCTCGCTCCCCTCCCTTCTCCTCTTTTCGGCTCAAGATTTCCCACGCCGCTTCGTCACACGAGGAGTGGGTGCCCTTCGCCAAGGGCCTCTTATCTCATCCTGGATAGCGTAGTAATCCAGGGCCAGACGAAGGTAGCGCTCCCGAGTTCGTTTGGGAAGGCGCTTCTCCCAGAAGATGATGAGCATCTAGCTTATCGAAGACGCATGCGGCGAATCACAACCGCCCCCTGCCTTTTGGAATCGCCCATGTGGCCGAACGTTGTGGCCAGAGCTCTGCCAAGCTATCGGACCATGTGTTCCCAGAGAGGATCTTCGAATAGCCAGGAGGAGGAGGAGGAAAAAGAAGAGGAGGAGGAGGAGGAATCTCGGGAGCTCCTTCGGGCACTCTTGGGGCCTCTGGGAGCTTCCTGGGGGCCTCTTGGGGGAATCTTGGGGGCATCCTTGGGCCTCTTGGGACCCCGTCGGGGCTTCATGGGGGCATCTTTCCTTATCTTAGGGCGTTCTTGACCCGTCGGAAGCCGTCTTGGGGGCCTCTCTGTACCGACTTGGGGCGCTCTTGGGGTGCTCAAGGGCCGTCTTGGAGGCCATCTTGTGCGTCTTGGGCCTCTTGGGCCGTCTTGGGACCGTCTTGGTTTGGGGCTTCTCGGGCCGTTCTGGTGCCACCTTGAAGGCGAGCGATCTTGGGGCTCTCTGGGGCCGTCTCGGGCCGTCGGAATGCCCAAGAAAAACACATGCCAAAATTCTTCGAACATTCAATTAAGATCAATGAGTTTGGCCTCTTTGGGCCTTCCTGGAGGCCCGCCTTCTTCGGGGGGCCCCTTGGGCCATCTTGGAGGCCGTTGAGGGGCCGTATTGGGCCGTCTTGGGACATCTGGAGCCCATCGTAGATTGTCGCGGCTTCTTGGGGCGGATTTGGAGGCATATTGGACCCTCTTGGACTGTCCTGGAAGCCATCTTGGACCATCTTGGGCGAACTTAGACGCCATCTTGGGCCATATTGGCCGTCTTGGAAGCGATTGGCCAACTTGTTCGGCGGATTATGAGGCCTTCGGGGGAAGGGTCGTTTCTGGAAAAGAACCAAAACCAGTACTACACGTTCAGCTCGCCAGGCACCCCATTGATAAATCAGCATGGGGCGGTGGATCGAAGCCCATGTGGCCTTTTGGAATCGCCCATGTGGCCGAAAGTTGTGGCCAGAGCTCTGCAAAGCTATCGGACCACGTGTTCCCCCAGTCGGTGTGTAAACCCTTCGGGGAACACTTCGAGGAGAACGAAGAAGCGGAGGACAGGGAAGGAACATAGAGAGGAGGAGGAGGAGGAGGAGGAGGAGGAGGAGGAGGAGGAGGAGGAGAGGCGAGGGGGGAGGGAGAGGACGCGGAGGAGGCTGAGGAGGAGGAGGAGGAGGAGGAGGAGGAGGAGACAAACAAACAGAAGAAGTCTTGGGGCCTTCTGGGAGCTTCTTGTGGGTCTCTCAGAGGCCTCTTGGAAGGCTCCTTGGACCTCTTTGGGGCCTCTTAGAGCTTTTTGGTAGCCTCTTTGGCCGTCTTAGGGCGTTCCTGGCCCGTCTGACGCCGTCGGAAGCCGTCTTGAGGGAATCTCTGAACCGACTTGAGGCCCTCTTGGGGAGCTTCAGGGCCGTCTTGGAAGCCAATTTGGGTGTCTTGGCGGCTTCTTGGGCCGTCTTGAGGCCTTCGTGGTGCCGTCTTGAAGGCTACTTGGGCCGTCATAGGGGTCATCTTGGAGGATTTTGGGGCGATCTTGGGACCTCCTGGGCCGTCTTGACCCGACGACAGGCCGAAAAGCTTCAAAAGGCATAACCTTGTTGTAACACCTCATATCTAAGGACAATGCATGAGTTGGGCCTCTTCGGGCCCTCCTGGGGGACCTCTTGGAGGCCTCTTGAGCCGTCGTGGATGGCTTTGGGGGGCCTCTTGGGGGCCTGTGGGGCCGTCTTGGAGGCTTCTTGGCTGGACTCTGAGGCATCTTGGATCTTCTTTGGGCCGTCTCGGAGGCCTTGGCGAACTTGAGGGGCCATCATGGCCGTCTTGGATGCCATCTTTGGCCATCTTGGACCCATCTGTAGCAGGATAATCATTTGCAACCGGGTGGAACACAGCCGTCCGGGTGGCCGGCGGCATGGACCGAAGCCCCAGAGGGAGTTTTTGTTAGCAAGGAACCAACATTAAGCTGTAGGATCTAGCACGCCAGGCACCCTTGTGATAAATCAACAGGGGGCGGCGGATCAAGTGGCCTTTGGCCAATCCCGCCACTGTGCCTGGATTGTGGTTCTGAGGCCTCTCTTAGATGTTCGTTGGGACCTCGTGAAGGCCTAGGGGGGGCTGTTTCGGAGCCTCTTTTGGGCCTCTTGGGGCTTCGTGGGGGCCTCTTGGTGGCCTCTTGGTGCCTCTTGAGGGGCCTCTTGGGGCCTCCGGGTTGTTTCTTGGGGCGGGAGGCTCAGATTGTCAGCCTGTGTTCCCTGGGATCCTCCTGGCTCCGAAAGCGTCGGGCGGGCAGTTGCCGGGATCCGCGGGCGGCAGGTTGGGGAGCCGCGGGGGCACGCCCAGGGCCCACGAAGACCTGGCAGCCGGGAAGGAGTCCTCAGGATTGAGGACCGAGGCGCAGGGGTTGAGCCACTTCACCGAGGAATCCTCAGGATTGAGGGCCGGGGAATCTTCAGGGTTGAGAACCGAGGCGCAGGGGATTGAGGACCGAGGGATCCTCAGGATTGAGGACCGGGACCTGGGGACGCTCCACTTCGTGCCACGGGGGTTGTTTGGGAAGGTGCCCCCCACCCAGAAGATGATGACTCCTTCTCTCGGGGAAGATATAGGCAGGTCTTGCGACCGCCACTGCGGTAAATGCGGCAGTACGGCAAGCGTGTGTATTGCGTTCCCAGGGGCCTCCAGTGTGGGATGTGGGTTCCCTGATTGGACCAAATTCCTCATAAATTTCAGAACGCCGAATTCGGCAGTGTACGTGATCTACTACTGTCTGTTGTTGAACGGCCTCAGAGGGATGCTGTATTTGCTTGAACGTGTGCAAGGCGTTTCTCCAGAGCCGTTCTAAGCAACTGTCCTACAGCAGACCCAACGTTGACCTCATGATCAACATACTCGATGCCGATGTTCTACCATCCATAAGGACCACGTGGCCGACTCGCCCAGTCGATAACCCTCAGGACGTGTGCCAGGCGAGTGTGAGCTTACCCAGTTCAGTTCCACGGACAACACGCAGTCTGTGCGGGCCCTTATGGATCACACCGCCTGCGTCGTATTGAAGGGTTGGGATGGACAGGCACACGTCAGCGCTCACACACGCATTTGAGGTGGTAACGCCGCTGCCGACCGCGCAGCAAAGCTTGGGGCCGACGTGCGCCCAGGGCCTCCCTCGCCGAGACTTGGCGCGTGAAGTGGCAGATTCGAGCCTCCAGATGCGTCCTGGCCTCGCGACCAGGGTTCCTTCCTGTCCGAAGCGCAGCTTGAATGATGTTCCCTTTGTCCTTCTCGACCCCCCGCCCTGTCGTTCAAGTGGAGTCGGTTGGTCGCGCATCGGCTTGGCATCGTTGTTTCCGGAGATGTGGCAATGATGTGCGACTCAAACGGTAGGCGGCGCGACCTGGTCCCAGTGCTTGCGCTCAATGTCCCCAGTCACGAAGGAATCGCAGTCCAAGGAACATGTGTGTCTAGCTGTCGAGTGCTCCAATCGCTCTCTGCTCCTGGTGTGCTCGCGGCCAGATGTTACTTCACCCTTCACCAGTTCAAGAAACTCCCGTCCGATTTCGCGCGTCGTCAGACAGGCAACGGCCCAGCGAATTCTTCGAGGTGTTCACCCAAATGAGCCAGTGATTCGGGTGGAGAGACTTCGCATCAGAGAGTCGTTATTTGGTGGCAGGGCGTTCGCCAAACAAGACTATATATAGTGAGAGAGATGATATTATCCTGGCGAAGAGCCCAACCACATGCAGTTATGAGCATCGCCGTTGTGGGTATTGTCTTCGGTGGATCTCCTTGTGGGACCACGAAGCGTGTCAAGTGTGTGCCGAAATGGGGCGGGGACGCATGCGGGCGCAGCCATTGGGGCCTTCGGTGGTTCTCTGTATGGAGCCACGAAGCGCAGGGGAGCTGTGCCGAAATGGAGCGGGACCGTTATGCGAACGTCGCCACTGGGGCCTTCGGTTGAGCTCCCCTTAGGGCCACGGAATGCGTGAGGGGTATGCCGACATGGGCGCGGATGGAGACGCATGCGAACGTCGTCATTGGAGATTTTGGTGAAGCTCCTTATAGGGCCACGAAGCGCTTGAGGGGTACGCCGAAATGGGCGGGGGGAGGCCATGTGATCACAGCCACTGGGTCCTTCGGTGGAGCTCCCTATGGGGTCACGAAAGCGCCGTACTGAGTGGCGCGGACGCATGTGATCACAGCCATTGGGGCTTCGGTGGAGCTCCCCATGGCGCCACGAAGCGCCGTACTGGGTGGCGCGGGACGCATGTGGTCACAGCCATTGGAGCCTTCTATGGGGTTCCCTATGGGGCCAGGAAGCGCCGTACCTGGTGGCGCGAGACGCATGTGGTCACAGGCACTAGGGCTTTCGGTGGAGCTCCCTATGGGGACAGGAAACGGCGCCGTGGTAAGCGCAGGACGCATGTGGTGACACCCAGTGGGTCTTTCGGTGGAGCTCCCTATGGGGCCACGAAGCGCAGTACTGGGTGGCGCGGGACGCATGTGGTCAGCCATTAGGGCTTTTGTTGGAGCTCCCTAAGGGGTCAAGCACTGCCGTACAGGATGGCGCGGGTCGCATGTGGTCACAGCCACTGGGGCTTTCGGTGGAGCTCCCTATGGGGACAGGAAGCGGCGCCGTGGTAAGCGCAGGACGCATGTGGTGACACCCAGTGGGTCTTTCGGTGGAGCTCCATATGGGGCCACGAAGCGCCGTACTGGGTGGCGCGGGACGCACGTGGTCAGCCACTAGGGCTTTTGTTGGAGCTCCCTAAGGGGTCAAGCACTGCCGTACAGGATGGCGCGGGTCGCATGTGGTCACAGCCACTGGGGCTTTCGGTGGAGCTCCCTATGGGGACAGGAAGCGGCGCCGTGGTAAGCGCAGGACGCATGTGGTGACACCCAGTGGGTCTTTCGGTGGAGCTCCCTATGGGGCCACGAAGCGCCGTACTGGGTGGCGCGGGACGCATGTGGTCAGCCACTAGGGCCTTCGGTGGAGCTCTCTATGGGGCCACGAAGCGCCGTATTGGGTGGCGCGGGACGCATGTGGTCACAGCCACTGGGGCTTTGGTGGAACTCCCTACGGGGCCACGGAGCGCCGTATTGAGTGTCGCGGGACGCATGTGGTCACAGTCAGTGGGACCTTCAGTGGAGGTCCATATGGGGCCACGAAGCGCCGTACTGGGTGGCGCGGGACGGTCACAGCCACTGAGGCCTTCGGTGGAGCTCTCTATGGGGCCACAAAGCGCCATACTGGGTGGCGCGGGTCGCATGTGGTCACAGCCACTGGGTCCTTCAGTACGCCGTAGTGGGTGCCGCGGGGCACTTGTGGTCACAGCCCTTGGGGCCTTCCGTGGAGCCCCCTACGGGGCCACGAAGCGCCGTACTGGGTGCGCTGAAATGTTAGATATACGGAGGGCAGAGGCAGGGGTAGGGGGAGGGGGAAGAGGAGGAGAAAGAGGAACTCGGAGCGCTGTCTCTTCAAAACAAGGACCTAACACCACAGGATGGTCGGGAAGAAACACACAACGATAGTTCTCACTTAATTGTCCTCTAACATCCCCCCTCCTCTCCCCTCTTCCTCCCTATTTCCTCTCTTCCTCCCTCCCCCCTCCCCGCTATTTCCTATCCCTCCCTCTCCTCCTCCCTCTCCTCCCCCTTCTCCTCCTCTACCTCCTCCCCTTCTCGCCCCCCCCCTCTCCCTCCCTCTCCTCCCCAGCCCTCCCCGCCTCCCCCGTCCTCCCCCATCCTGCCTCCCCGCCGCGATGCGAGAGCCTTGCCTTCGACGCCTCGTTCTCCTTCCGATGCCGACTCCGATGCCGGCGGCGGCGGCGGCGGCCCAGCAGCCTAGCGCGCCGCGCCTCCCAGAGGCACGGCACCTTGCCCTCCACCTGCGGGCCGCGCGCTTCGGGCGGCACGGCTGCGGCGGCGACGCCGGGGACATCCCCTGAGAGCCGCCGCGCCGCCGCAGCCCGCGCCGCCGCAGCCCGCGCTCCGCGGCAGCCGCGCGGCAACGCAGCGCACGCCGCGGGGGTCGAAGAGGAATTCTGGCATCGCTCGGGCGTGCGCAGTGTTTTTATCGGACGAGGAACGGCATAAGATAAGCTTTCCCGCCCTCGGGGACCCCTGCCCCAGGGCGGCTTGGACGATTATCTTGTACCGTGCTTCGCCCTCGGTTCTCGGCGAGGAACATTGGGGAGCATCCTTGACCAGCTCGCGAGGGCAAAAGAGACTGGCAACATGCACAGGCGGGGGGCGTCTGAGGGATGGCAAGGAAACGCGTGCAAGTAAACGGCCCTGGGCTCCCCCACCAGCGGCGCCTCTGGCGTTGCCCCTGGCGCGCTTCGGGCGCGCAGCGCTGGACCATCCCTCCCTGGCGCGCGGAGCGCGCCAGGTGGCGGCGCTGGAGGCGCCGCGAGGAGGGCCCCGCGACGATCCAGGAGATCGGCGCGGACCTACGAAAGTTTATGTCTGTTCAGTTTCCCAGAGATCGCGCCGACAGATGCCGCCGACCGCCCGCGACCGCCTCCGACCGCCGCTGCCGGCGCGGGCGACTGTCGACGTCAGGGGCAATGTCTGGGTGGGGGGGCTGGCTCATGGGGCGGTCGCATCTTCCCCGATCGCCCACTGATGTCCGGTGGGGAGCCTGCCAGCCCACCCTTCGAGGGCGCGTCCTGGGGGGAAGTGAGGGGGCGGGCCTTCTCAGGAGGCTCGGAAGGCCCCACGCCTTCTGAGAAGTCTTCTAAGCCTTCCCCGAAGACACAGAAATCTTCTCAGAAGGCGCGGGGGCTGATGAGAAGTCCCGCCGATGTCCGAGAAGGCCTCCTCCTTCTCACCTCCCCCCCTCGCTCGCCGCCGAACCCCGCTCAGGAGCGTGCGGGTTCGCTATCGAAAGCCTATCGCCGATCCATCGGCGATGTATCGCCGATTCCAAGTCGAGGAGTCCCCGATTCGATTCGACTTCGATGGCTTCCGTTTCCGATTCGATTCGGCTTGGGATTCCGATTCGGGCCTCCAATTCCGATGCTGTAGCTTGCCGACGTCCGCCGATTCGACTTCTCCCGACTTCGCTGCTGCGTTCCGCCGATCCAATTAGACCCAAAAGCCTCCTATGTACAAGACTGCGCGGGGTACCATTGGATGCAGTCCTGCTGAATTGGTCTTCGCTCTCTGACGTCCCGTCTTTTCCAGCACCTCAGAATCACTACCTTATAGACGGAGCCAAACAGCACGAAGATTGGTGTGCACACTTCGCTCGCCGATCCGACTTGTCGATTCGATGCTGGGCTCTCCTGCCCCCGGGAGCCCCGCGGCGGCGGCGGCCGCCGGCGACGGCCGCCGGCGGCGGCGGGGAGGCGCCGACGCTCGGACGAGGGCCCGTCGAGACAGCGCCGGCCCTGGCGCGGGCGACCGCAGAGGTCGAGTCGGGCCTGTCCCTCCACAGGGATGTCGGGCCTGTCCCTCTACAGGGGGCATATTGAAAAATAGTGAAAGTATAGTCAGGGGACGTTTTGTTTTTACTTTTTTTTGGTATTTGGTGGGGGGTATTTTTGGAGTATGTTTTATTTTTCACCCAAAATCCCCCTGTAGGGGGACACGCCCGACTTAATTAACTCTACAGGAGGAAGATTCGAAAATGGTTAAAAGATAGCCGGGCGACGATGTTTGATTACTTTTGAAGATTTTTGCATATTTTTGGATGTTGATCGTTTTTGGCTTCCCCTGCAGGAGGGCGCGCCAGGCCTAAGACAACGGCGGCCCTGGCGCTGTTCTCGGGGAACAAGTTGGCGACCAGGAAGGGTACGGCCACACCGGGGTTGTTTGCGGTCGGCACCGCTGGGGCCAGGGGGGGCGCGCCTTTGTCCTCTTCGGGCCTCCTCGGGGCGCGGCGGAGCACGCCATCGAGTTCCCCGCCCGCCCCCCAGTGTGGCTGCGGCGGCGACGGGCGGCGACGAGCCGGCTGGGCCGCAGGCCAGGCCCAGACGGGCGGCGGTGACGGGTGGCGGCGAGCCGGCGGCACCGCCAGCCGGGCCCAGTTCCTCAGAGGACGAGTGAGCTTTTCCGAGTGCAGGCGCTGTTTGGGGAATCCATGCTCGGAGGTCCGCGCTCGGGCCTCCCCCCATGGCGCGCCCCGCGCGCCGGGGAGCGGGGGTCTCAGCGCAGAGCCAGGAAATCCGCGCGGACCTCCGAAAGTGTATGGCTGTGGTGTTTTTCTTCCTCTGTTCTGGGCCTCCTTGGGGCTTCTCGTCGCTACGGCTGGGTCCGCTGTGGTTGCCGCGCTTCGGCGGTGGGACCTGGCAGCGGCGGTGGGCAAGTTCGAGATGCTGGAGTCCGTGCGGGCGGCGACCCCCGCCCCGCGTCCTCCCTCCCCCTCCCCAGCGGCGCGGGCGCGGCGCGACCGTCGCGTGGGGCGACCTCCCTCTCCTTTGCCCTCTGTGGGCAAGGAGAGGGAGGCCGAGGTCTTCGTGGCCGCCCGCAGAGTGCAGGCCCGCGGCCGGGGCCCCTGCGTGCGCCTGGAGGTGCCCGGCGTGGCCCGGTGCTCCGCCAGCCGGCCCCGGGAGCTCCGGGAGGAGCATTACGAGCGCCGGGCAGCGCCAGGGGAGGATCCCCTGAGGCTCGCGGAGGGTTGCTCCGAAGGGCTCAGGCGACCCGTCCTCCTATCTCCTCCTCCCCCCTCCTTCTCCCTCCTCCTCCCTCCTCCTCCGCCCTCCTCCTCCTCCTCCTCCTCCTCCTCCTCCTCCTCCTCCTCCTCCTCCTCTCGAAGCTTCTCTTTCCTGCACGTCTCTCCCCCTCCTCCCTCCCCTCCATCGTTATCCTCCTCGCTCCCCTTCTCCCGGCCCCTCTGGCCCCCCAGCCTCAACGCGAGGGGTTGGCAAAGGGGAGGGCGCGTGCGACGGCGGGGGGGTGGGGAAGGGCGCGTGGATCTCTCGAACTGATGCGGACCTTTTTGGGACAGTAGGTGCACCGGCTCGGCTGGATGGGGCTGAACCAGTTCGGCTCAATCCCTGGTCGGTGTGGTCCGGCGGACGGCAACGGAGAGACAGCAGAGGCGAGGGAATCGAGAGTTGCAGGAAAGGAACCCAAAATGACCACAGTAGCTACACTGCTGCCGCACGCTCAAGAGGTCCACGTAGAGCGCACGTTTCCTCACTCCCCGTGAATTGCTCCCCATCTCACGACTACCCAGTTTGTTCCAGCCCTCTCTCGCTTCGCGCCGTCGATGCTTGTTTTGGGTCGGGCCTGTCCCTCTAGAGGAGTATTCAAACATAGTCAAAAAATAATATGTGGACGACTTGTTGACTATTTTTTAACATTTTTGCTTTTCTGTATTTTTCGTCCAAAACCAGCCTGTCATGGGGGGGACACGCCCGACCTTATGCTTGTTGGGTGCCGAGACGAGATCTCGGGCCATCGCCCGGCCTGGCAGCCACGTTGGCTTGGTCCACATGGCGGCTCTGACATGAGCTCGGAAGTGTGCGTACAGTGAGCGGTTTGAGTAAGGACCACTTCCTTCTCTAAGGGGGCATCGGTCGTTCCTTAGGTTTGCGTGCGTTATGTATTGCGCCTTATGCGTTATGTTGTATCGTGCCTTATGCGTGACCCCTTGGAAAAAAGGGGCTTCGTTCTTTATGTATCGTTACTTAGGTCAGGCCGATGACCGTATCTTCAGTTCCCTCGAAGAAGTCACATCCGAGCGAAGGGCCCATGCATGTGCAGCTGCGAGTAGCGCAATACAACATAGTGATGGGGGCGAGCAGGAGAACGGGGACGTGGATGAGAAGGAGGAGGAATAGCAGCATCCTGGCTGCCGATCTCCACCCATCCGATCCGATGCACTCCGATCGCCGATCCGACTCCTCGATTCGCCTCTGGGGCGCTCCGGCCGCGCGCAGCGTCGCTGCCCCTCCGATGGCTGCCGCCCCTCACCAGCCTGAAACACGTCCCTGCCCCCATGCTTTGCAGCGCCTCGTCTCGATGCGGGTCCTGGGGACGCCGTCGGTTTTTCCGAGGGCGCCTCCCTGAGCATTGTCGCATCGCCTCTTGGCCTGTCAACCGTGGGGGTATAGGGAGGAGCTCGAGGCCGGTGCATCCCGGCCACCGCCGCTGCCAGCGGGGCGCCGAGCGGCGTGCCCGCCGCCCGACCCGCAGCGCCCCCCCCCGCCCCCCCAAGGGGTGGCCCTGGGCCGGCGCGCCGCGGTGCCTCGGAGGGGCTGGAGAGGCATATCAGCACGCAGTGGCGAAGCGTCCTGGCGTGCCCATGGGCCTGCCAAACAATGTTCTAAGAGCCTTGTGTGTGTTTCCACCGAAGGTTCTTGGGACTGTCTCGTTTTAACACGTCAGGTTATGTTCTAAGATCATTTTCTTTGTTCTTAGGACATTTGTGGGTTATAAGAGCCTTATGTGGTAGGCCTATACGAATGCCGGGACGGTCGGTCCCTGCTCAACATGCACAGACCACGTCGTTGGGCCTGATGCAGTCGAAGCCGATGGTAAGGATGGGCCGCCTTCCCAAGTGCACCCTGCCCTCTATGTTTCACCGTCTGGCGCGTAGAAAAGGTTGTCCCCCGGGCCACCCCCCACCCCCTGGGTAAGGGGAACGGTCTCATGTGGGGGGGATGGGCCTTGACCCCACCCCACATGCTGGTGCCCGAAGGCATGTTGTGCTGCTCAACGGTATGCTGCAGCTCTCGTAGGCTCACCCCGCCCAACCGTGTCCTGTGATTCGCCCCTGGGTAACGGCCGTTACCCGAAATAATACCAGAACGCGATATCGTTTACACCACGTCGTTTGACCTGCAAAAGGATCGAGGGAAGAAGAATGATGACCATGACCAAGATGCCATGGTCCATGTCAGCCGTGGCCCATTCGCGAGGATGACCCACGAATTGACACTAACAAGCAGGGACGATGATCAAGATCGAAACCGATGCTTCCACGTTGAGTCTTGGTCAGGGCCCTCGTTTTCTGCCCCTAAGGAGTTCGGTGTATAGACGCTCCAGCATCCCAGAGCCTGAGGAATGGCCGAGCAGACGACTTGGTGAATGCCTCGAGCCCCTCCCAGTACCGAAACCCCTCCGGCGGCGGCGCAGATCGAATCGAATCCCTTCGTTGTGTGCGCGCCCCAGCACGGGCGCGGCGCGGCACCCGCTGCCTGCGGCGGCGATGCTGCGCGCAGAAGGCCGCGGCGGCTTCGTCGTCGTCGCGGTCGCCATCGTTGCCGCTTTCGTTCGCTCCGTCGCAACACCGTCGCTGCGTTGTGGTGCTCGTGGTCGTCTCTGGTCGTCGTCGTCGTCGCGGTCGCTCGTCGTCGTCGTGGTCGCTCGCCGTCGCTGGTCATCTTCGTGCTCGTCATCGTCGTCGTGATCGTCGTCGCTCGTTGTTGTAGCGTGACTAGTCGTGGTCCTTGTCGCTCGTCGTTCCTCGTCGTCGCCGTGCGAAATTCACGCGGACCCCCGGAAGTTCGTGTGTGTGTGTGTGGTGTGCAGTCTTCCTTTTCTCTTCTTGAGGGATGTGGGGGGGGTCCTTCCTATAACGCCAGGCGTGGCCCCCGCGAGGGCGGCCCCAGGCAGGAGGAGGAGAGGCAGACAGGACAGGACATCCGCATGAGGGGTCAACGTCAATGCGCCCGCTAAGGTGCAGTGTGGAAGGTATGCGCAATTCCCCTGCGTGAGCGTTATGCAGCAAGGACTCGACAGCCCTTCGACATCTTATCGAGGGAACTGCGAAGGCCTGCGCAGAGGCAGGAGAGGGAGGAGGACCAGTATACACCCACGACGCATCGCCGATGTTGCAGTTAACCCTCCCTTCGAGTTCCCTCCTCAAGGATTCCTCCAAGAATTGGTTTGAATTGAGGGAAGAGCCCCACTGGCACACTGGAAGACAGCCTCCAGAGAGTCCTCACACTTCCCAGGGATTCAACGCCGCGAGTCAATCCTAAACCGTGACGGAGCACCATTCCTGGGACTTCAGAACCGCTAATCAATTACGCTGCTGCTTCCTGGCAACCCTGCACCGTGCCAGAACAGCATTCCTGGGACGCCAACTATACGAATTCTTTCAAACTATTGCAATTATGTTTATCGAATGCGCGCGGCGCTGAGGCGAGAACCACATTTTGAAAACGACTCACCCTCCATCCTTGAAGCTGCGGCAAACTTAACAAAAACAAATGTGTGCGGCGCCAGGCGGGATCCACATTCTGAAAATAGCTCGGCCTCCATCCTTAAAGCTGTGGCACATGCTTAAAAGCAACTGTGCGTCGTGCTAAGGCGAGAGCCACATTATGGAGGCGGCACGCCCTCTATCTTTGAAGCCGCTGCAAAGTACACAACAAACGAAAGTGCGCAGCGCTAGGGCGAGAGCCTCATGTTGAAAATGGCCCGCCCTCCGTCCGTGAAGTGTAGACTTCAGGCTGCAGGACCACCAGCGGTGAGGAAGGTCTCGGGCACAGCGCCTGGTCCGCCCTGCCGTGACGTCTGGGGGTCATGGTCTCCACTCGGCGCCCGGCCCCCCCCTGACGTTTCCCTTCGTACCTTCCCTTGGCAGCCCGCAGGTACCTCCAAGCACATGTTTCCCGGGCAACGCGCAGGCACCTCCAAACCATTCTTCTTCTTTTTCTGGGCAGCCCGCAGGTGCCTCCACGCACCTTTGCTGGGCAGCTCGCAGGTGCTTCCGAGCAGCTTTCCTGGGCAGCCCGCAGGTACTTCCGAGCGCCTTTCCTGGGCAGCCCGCAGGTCCCCCCCAGTGATGTTTCTTGGGCGGCCCGCTGGCACCTCCAGGTGCCTCTCCTGGGCAGCCCGCAGGCACCTCCAGGTACCAGAGGGGGATACACGAGGACGCTCCCCCCCTTCGCCAGGCGGGGCCCCCGCCAGGGCCCCGAGCAGGCGGTGCCGCCGCTGGGCGGTGCTCCTCGGGTGCGGCGTCGCTGGCGCCGCCCCAGCGCCTCGGGACCCGCCGCGCGCCGCCGCGGTCGCGCCTCGGCCGACCGTCGTCGTCGCCGCCGTCTTCGCCGCCGCCGTCGCCGCCGGCGCCGTCGCCGTCGCCGCCGTCGCCGTCGCCGCCGCCGCCGCCGCCGTCGTCGTCGACGTCGTCGTCGTCGTCGTCGTCGTCGTCGTCGTCGTCGTTCGATGATCGATGTTCGGGCAGGTCTTGTCGCAGCTTAGGCCACCAGGGGCCACCCTCGGTGTTCAGGGACTGACTGACTGACTGACAAACCATACACCAAGCAGTGCGTGGGCATGAACGCTGGCTAAAAGAAAGGCCTGGGCCTTGGCTACACGCTGGGCCACTGCTGTCGGTTCCCGGTGAGAAGCTGTACTTGTGCGCTGGGAGCCCAGGGCACCACGCGCAGGAATGGCGCGCAAGTGGGTCACACTGGGACGACCAAGATGAGGAAAAAACAAGGAGGAGGAGGAGGAAAAGAGGGAACAAACATTGATACGTGGCGAGAAATTGCCAGGGCCTTCTCCTTTCCACCTCATCAGCCATCCTCTTCCTCCCTCTTGCTCCACTCCTGCTCATGACTCCAGCTGGCAGCCAAAGGATAAGACATACATCAGATCCCCCTGCTCGGCTATCTTGCTATAGGGTTGTCGCCACATTCGATTTGGTTAAGAACCGTATCTCTCGTGTCAGTCAAGATGCGATTGAGCATGAGACTTCTGAGCCTTCGTCGAGACATGTGAGAAGGATGGAGAAACGATCTCGTCCAGACATCTTCGCTAGGGTACAAGCTAACTCCAATCATACCATGTGCCTCCTGAAGACCGAATGGAGCTGTTTAGACCGCCGAAGCTCTGTCAGCAAAGTTGCTTGCAGGAGAGAGTCTTGAATGACTGGTTTTCGGATGAGTGCGCCGGGCCACCTCCCCCCCGCCCCACCCAGCCCGGCTCACGACTGGAACGAGGCGAAGCCGCCCATCGCATGAGCTCCTCTTTGCAGAGCCCTATTGGGTTTGTGCGGTGTGTGGGGGGGTGTCGGACGCTGGAGGGCAGGAGGCGCTCCAGCCCTGCAGGAGGCGTACGGGTCTTTGCTCCCAGGCCTCCCCCGCGCGCATGCGCCAGCGCCGTGGGATGGTCGGACAGGCAGATCGAGCGCCGTGGGGCGGCGGCGACAGGGGGAGGGCGTGCTGGAACGGAGAGGGGGGCAGAGGCAAGCTTGGGGCGTGGGAGGAAGGGGCGGTGGCGGCGGGAGGGCGATTCCTCTTGGGCTGCTTGCGATCTGGGCGGGCCCTGGGTGGCCCTGGAAGGAGAGTCCTCCTCCTCCTCCTCCTCCTCCTCCTCCTCCTCCTCCTCCTCCTCCTCCTCCTCCTCCTCCTCCTCCTCCTCTCCTCCCCCCTCCTCCTCCTCCTCCTCCTCCTCCTCCTCCTCCTCCTCCTCCTCCACCTCCTCCTCCATCTCCTCCTCCTGGGCCGCCGCCGGACGCGAAGGACCTGGCCGGCGAGCTTGCGGACGCGGCCGGGGAGCCGTTCGAGGTCCGGGGGGCGGTGTCGTGCCTGCTGCAGGCGCAGGCCCGCCGGGCCCTCCCGAGGCTGTTGGTCTATCCTCTGGGGCGTGTGGGTCGTTGCCCGGGCCCTCCCCCGCCTCTCCACCCCCCGTTCGGGGGTGGAAAGAACCCCCACCCTGACGCGTCGATTCGTGAACTGTCCGTGTTCGGTTCTCGAGAGGGCGCCGCGGCCGTCATTCTCCAGGCTTGCGCCCGCCAGGTTTAGGCCCGAGGTCGTTTTCACTAAACCACGCTTTGCTAAAGGGGGCTTTGTCCATCCCCGACCCGTGATAGTAGCAATCGTACGTCTGGGGGGTGGGGCTGGACCCATCCCACCACATGCTCGCGCGCATACTGTGGCGATCGCAGCGCACCTCTGCCACGACGTGCCCCGATACGGCTGCCCCACTGAGACCCTTGCGTCTCAATTTTTTCGAGCTCCGACCAGCGTCGCCCCAACATACCAATACTATATGTGCGTCGCCACCCGAGGGGCGACGCGCGCACCGAGAAATCTTCTAGTATGTGCGTCGTGGCGGACGCTTCCTGGCCACACCGCTCGGGAAACGATCCACTACGAGATGGGCGTGCTATCTGTTCGGGTCGGGCGCGCGCCTCCAGGGAGAATCTGTAGTCTGGGTAGTCGAAGGCCAGGCTGTCAGATTGGATTGGGCCCCAAGGGCCAATCTGGCCCGGCCAAACTGGATGATTTGGGTCACTCGCCAGACTGGATTCGCGTTGGCCCCCTCGCCAGATTGCCCCCGTTTGCCAGCTTGGGCCTGCCAGATTGGCGCCAGATTGGCTTCGACTACCCAGGCAGTACCCAGTGTGCCTTGGTGCGTCCCCTTCGAGCTGGGCGTGCTATCTGTTCGGGTCGGGCGCGCGCCTCCCAGGGAGAATCTGCAGCACCCATTGTGCCTTTTTGTGCGTCCCCTTCGAGCTGGGCGTGCCCGCCCGATCTCGGGCCCCCGGCGCCCTCGCAGACCGGGGCGTCGCGCGCGGCCCGGGGCAGCGGGCCCTCTGCCCGGCACGCGGCACGGTATCGGAACCCCGGACTGGCCGAGGTACGCCAACACCAAGGTCGGCGGGGGTGCCTCCGCCGAGGGAGGATTGTTCCGATCTCGGTGACGGTGGTAACGCTAGGGCTTCCAAGGTGGCCGAAGTATTACCACCAACACCGAAATCTGGGATCAACCCCTCTAGACCTCCGGCACGAGAGCCACCGTACTGAAAGCAAGGGAGGAAAAAGAAACGCCCGACAATGTTGGACCGACTCGGGCCTTCGCAGGAAACCGATATTTGTGAATCAGGCTCCAGAAGGAATCGAAACAATGGTTGGGATTCGAGAGGGATTCAAAAGGAGAGTGGAGCGTCACCGAAATTCCCACGACACCGCTGTTTTGTATCGAGTTTCAACATACAGCAACAAGGACAATTGAGCGTCTTCTTACTTCAATACCAAACAAGTGTTTCGTATTGAAGCAACAAAAAGACAACATGGAGCGTCTTTGGAAGTCCAAACACTTGGCGTTTACTAAACAGCCTTGGACGTTTACTCAACAGCCCCCCCTGTTCGATTCCTTACTTTGGCGCGTTTGCTAAACGGCTTCCCTTGTCGGGGTGATTGTTATGGGGGGGATTTTCTGGCCTCTATGAAATATAATGCGGAGGATTGTCGACGTTTTCGGCCCCTCGAAGCTCTCGCCGGGCCATTGGACTGCAAAAACATCTCAGGATGGAAAACCCGCCCCGCTGAACGGGTCGAGACTTCGGGGACCCCGCACTGAGAACATCAAGGCATCGGATCTCTAAGACTGTGACGGCACGCACGTAACGGTCGTTGCTCGGGCCAAGCCCTCCCCCCTCTGGGTAACGGTGACGATCATGCGTGGCGGGGTCCTGGCCCCTTCCCACGCACTGGTGCCAGAAGTCAACCTGTGCTGCTCACAGTGTCCGTTGCGACTCTCGCGTGCTGACCACCCCGCCCAGGCGGTACCGTTACCGGGGGCCCAGCCCCCCCCCCTCTCCTGGTAATGAAAGTTACCCGACATTGACATGACCTTGGCATCGCTCGGACGTGTGCATTTTTCTCGGCGGGGACCATCGAGGAGCATCCTGGATCATCCTGCGAAGAAATACACGCACGAAACTGAAACATACACGGGGAATGGACGTCCGAGCGATGGCACGTAATAAGAACACCTTTTGCTGGACGTCCGAGGAGGGAGAAGATACCGATACCCCGATACGCCGATACCGCTGCACCCCTGAGGTCCTGGCGCCCCATTTCTTTCGAGCCTGGGCGTCTTCGCCTAGTGTCTGGCACCGCGTCCTCACAGATCCACGCGGCTCCAAAAAGTTGTCAGAAAGATGGGGTCTAGAGCTCCCGTGGCGAATTGTTACGACGTTCTGCGGTTTTGCTCGCGCCGTCGGATCTCCGGCAGCGGTGACGGGACGCCAGAGCAGCAGCAGGTATTCGCACGCCGATGCCGCTGCTCGTCCTGTGGCGCGCTCTCGTCACGACGGCCCGGTTCTCCTCGAGCCTGCGGTCAGAACGCGCCCTGGGAGAGGTCCGGGGAGTGGCGGTATCGGTACCGTTTCCCCCCCCCCCCCGGGAAGGAGTGCTGGCAGCCCGCTCGGGCGGGACCCCATGCTCTCGGCACGGTCGGAGCGGGGACGGGCGCGAGCGGCGACGTACGTACACGGTACACGTATGAGTTTTCGATCGGGGCGTTGATCCTCGATGTGGGGATCTGCATTGTGACGGCCGGCGTCGTGCAAAAAACCACCGCGCCACTCAGCGCCACTCAGCGCCACTCAGCCACTCAGCGCCAGTCAGCGCCACTCTACGCCAGTCAGCGCCACTCGGCCGTTGAATGGCGCAGAGTGGCGCAGAGTGGCGCAGAGTGGCGCTGAGTGGCGCTGACTGGTGGAGTGGCGCGTTGGTGGCGCGAAGCGCGAAACGGTGTTGGGTGGCGCTGAGTGGCGCTGAGTGGCGCTGAGAGGAGGAGGGGTAAGAGGAGGAGCCTCAGGAGGTCGGGGAGGAGGAGGAGGAGGAGAAGGAGGGGGCAGGAGAAGCGGGAGGATGAGCAGCATGGAGGATGAGCATCATGAAGAAGACAAGGAAGGAGGAGGAGGAGGAGGAGGAGGAAGAAGAGGAGTAGTAGAAGGAGGAGGAGAGACAGGAGGAGGAGGATTTTGAAGAAAATAAGGATGCTGAGGAGTATGATCAGAAGGAAAAGGAGAATGAGGAGGAGGGAGAGGAGAAGGAGAAGGAGAAGGATGATGATGATGAGGAGGAGGAGGAGGAGCGATGAGGATGATGAGGAGGATGATGACGACGACGATGACGACGACGATGACGACGATGATGACGACGATGGTGATGGGGAAGACGGGAGGGAGGAGGAGAACGAGGAGGAGGAGGAGGAGGTCCCGAATCGATGGAAATCGAATCGTGTAGGAAAGTACACCCTATGATGCCACAGGTCTCCTCATCATACCATGTGATAGTACATCATACCATGTGATAGCGAGGGTCTCTCAATACATCCACCGTTCTGGATGATGACCGTGGCATGTGGATTGAGGTGGAATGAGGAGTGGTGAGGAATATTATCAAAGATGAGGGGGAGGAGGAATACGAGGAGTGAGGACTGAGGGGCCAGAGGACAAGGACTACCAGGATGAGAAATCGGAGCAGGAGGAGGAGGAGGAAGAGGAGGAGGAGGAGGTCCCGAATCGATGGAAGTCGAATCGTGTAGGAAAGTGTATCCTATGATGCCACAGGTCTCCACATCATACCATATGACAGCACAGCATATTTATTCCTGCCCGCGAGGGTCTCTCAATACCTCCACCACTCTGGATGATGACCGTGGCATGAGGAGTGAGGTGGAATGAGGAGTGATGAGGAATATTATCAAAGATGAGGGGGAGGAGGAATACGAGGAGTGAGGACTGAGGGGCCAGAGGACAAGGAATACCAGGATGAGAAATCGGAAGAGGAGGAGGAGGAAGAGGAGGAGGAGGAGGTCCCGAATCGATGGAAATCGGATCGTGTAGGGAAGTGCATACTATGATGCCACAGGTCTCCTCATCATACCATATGATAGCACAGCATATTGTACTCCTGCCCGCGAGGGTCTCTCAATATATCCACCGCTCTGGATGATGACCGTGGCATGAGGAACATTATACAAGATGAGGGGGAGGCGGAATACGAGGAGTGAGGACCGAGGGGCCAGAGGATAAGGAATACCAGGATGAGAAATCGGAGGAGAAGGAGGAGGAGGAGGAGGAAGAGGAGGAGGAGGAGGTCCCGAATCGATCGAGCGGCCCCGGCGATAGCGGGGAGAGGGGAGGCCCCGAGGAGGAGGAAACGCCAAGGAGGGCGAGGGGAGGAAGGACGACGACGCACCCGCTTTGTTTCTGGGGGGCGTTCCGTGGGATCTGATATTTTGCACGTGTCGCAGCAGGTTGTTCAACATTTTGGGCGTTCGGGCCCCCTCGCATTTCTCTTCTTCTCCATGCCACAGGGATGGGTTTCTATCGGAGTTTACTGACCAGCGCAGATTTATTATAAAGGAAAGCAGATCCCACGGGAAATGGTTGGCATTTTACGGACGTTTGCTGAGCGCCTTTGCTCTCTCGGGATGATATTTTCTATACAGGTTTCTCCTTGAGCTCTCCCCTTTCTCTTGCTTTTGCTTCCTCCTCCGCCTCTTCCCCGAGGAGGCCCCGAGGAGAAGGAAATGCCGAGGAGGGCCCCGAGGAGAAGGAAATACCAAGGAGGGCGAGGGGAGGAAGGACTCCACAGGGGTGGGTTTCTATCGAAGTTTACTGAACACGCACGCTTTTTATTTATAAAGGAAAGCAGATCCCACGGGAAGTGGCTCGCATGTCACGGATGTTTGTTGCGCGCCCTGCTTTCTCGGAGTGACGTTTTCCATTCAGGTTTCTCCTCGAACTGTTCTCCTTCTCTTGCGTTTGCTTCCTCCCCCGCCTCTTATCCCCCTCTCCCCG